TTTCCGCAAGATAATTCTCCACGACAACTCTGCCTGCTTCCCTTATATGAGTTACATTCATTGCACATCGTAACCACCACCACTTGACTAATTCTTGCTGCTGTTATAGCGGTTCCATCCTGAATTATACCCAAACTAGGCAGTCAATTCTGAATTCACATGTCGTTACTTCCAAATCCGTTACTCAAGAGAAAGAACATGAAGTTTTCATGTTTAATAACATCCAATTTCACTGGCAATTTAATAAGAATGAATGTCCGTTATGTGGCATGATCGAAACAGAGATCCCATCATCACAGTGATGAACCATTGCCTTATTATTCATCATTATCAAAACATAATTATTTTAAGCGTTGCCAGTGTGAGACATAAGATGGTAAAAGCAATCTGAGTGCAGTACGATGTCATTACGTAAATTAAATTAATGATCTAACAGGACGGTCAATACTCTCCTGGGAATTACACGTCCAAAACACGACTGTCTGATGAGGGTTACGGAGCGATTCGCATTCGTAAGGTCGTAAGACAGAAACCGAGACGTGGCAAATACAGCTCGCGTCATCATCACACTCAGGCGAATGTTCGTAGGCTGATTCCTTCCCCAGATTTAAATACCATAATTCAAAATAGTTCGTCAATCAAATTAAAAAATATAACGCACTGTCTATACGTCACTTTAAGTTTGAGAGAAAAATGACTTAATAGTATGTTTAAACCGCATGGAAACCCTTTCCTAATTTAAAACTTCAAGACTTACTTCCTCACTCGTATTTGTAAGTATCTTCCTTAGAATCCTCCATCTATGTTGTTCTAGCAGCAGAATCATCGTGAGAACCTAATACTCACTCAACTTGTCTGTATTTTATGGAACTATAAGGTTTATTATCGTGTTCACAAAAGCCCGCCTTTGGTCCCTGTCATGAATCAAGTCCACAAACCTTGTGTTTGATCTATCTTAATAATACCTTTCCATCAACGTCATGATCCCCCAAGTTTTGTACGTACTTCTCACTTCTTACAAGCGTCATACATACATACCACACCCATCTCATCTTCCTGCATTTGATTAAATAAAGAGCAAGCATACAAATTATGGTGCTCCTCATTACGCAATTATCTCCAGCCTCTTGTTACTTCCTATCACTTAAGTGTAAACACTCTGAAAAACACTCAGATCTGAAAATCCACAATCTGTTCTTCCTTAACATGAGAGGCCACTTCACACCCCCATAAGGAAACATATTTCTTTCCCTTAGGATCGTTAAATATTCAATGAACACACATTATATAGGGTTTCATCTCACTACAAGTTTCCTGCTTGCTTTCAGAACTCGGCTTCATTCGAACCTGGTGCCCTTACACGAAACGCACACTCGAGTGTGTTCTGGGCAGAAAGATCAAGGGTATCGTCTACACGTGTATGCGCGCATGTGTTCATACTTCTACTGAGTATGTCTGTCGATACAAAGAAGTCAAACTGAAGAATTTCTTGACGAAGATTGTTCAACGTTGTATCGTTAAAATTTTATAACTTTGTCAGCTAACCTTCTTAATAAAATTTAAGGTACTGAACGTTCAGCAAACATTTACTATTTCGGAAGCTATTCAAACAACACGCTGACTTAGAACAGGTAGATAGTACATTTGTACGCCAATTTACAATGTAACAGTCAACCTCAGAACTGAGAAAACTGTACACGTATTAACAAATGGATCATTAAGCACACGCAAGCCGATGTATTTATGCTGTTAGGCATCATTCAGTGATAAACTGAAGAACAAGTTTGGGTGTGTTTTTAAAAATCACATAGAACCACAAAGCAGCCTTTGGCTACATAAACTAAAAAAAAAGGATGCTTTTATGTTGTGTACCGTTGGTTATTTAATTATATTTTACCGATCCCAAAGGAACAGTTTATTACTATATCTTAAAATTGACTATAAAAGACGGATTAAGTATGCGGAAATTGGCATGCCAAAAACGTCACACCACACACCAACTGTAGTTGGTTATATCAGTGTTTCGCAACGCGAATCTAAGTTCACTGTGACGGCGACATTTTTAATTCAGTTTCGTTGCTATACATTTAACTATAACTCAGAAAGTGTTGACAACAGCACACTGATATTTTTGTTCATTCCTGTTTTGTCATCTTAGTGGCATGTGCTTCTGTGTCTTTGCCAAACTGTTGCCAGCTCAAAACTTTGTTCGTATCTGGTACGAAACTTATCCTTTTTCAGAACAGCCACGGGGCGTACAATCTTGATAACTTATTACCTGCCACTCGCGTAATTGATTTTCTAAAATGTTGCTGATCTACTAATTTTGCTCTTGAACTATAATGTTGGCCACACAAATAAATTTAAAAGTATAACGAAGTAGTCCTATAAAAAATAAATTATGCACGCATAGATACTACATACCACACACAATTTCACCAAAATATGATTTACTATGCTGTATATTTTATAGTGCCGCCATGAGGCTTAGGCTATAAGATAATCAGTTATTTAATTATGTTGTACCAATTGTAGATGAACATTTTCAGGTGCGATCCTAAAACTCACGTTCAGAAACCAATAGGCCTAAATTCACAGAACTTAATTTTCACAATGTTGGATTCCTGATAAGAATGTACGAGCAGCACTAGATCAAGTTAAAGTGAGCCCTCAAAATTGAAGACACAAGAATCACACAGGACACACAACCAAAGGTGTTTAAATTTTTAGAAAACAAGGAGATGGGTACGACGTTGGGCATCGTTGGTTACATAACGACGTTGCGTCAACAGCAAAATGCATCTGCAGACGCGGAGGGCTGAAGCCATAACTGCAATGTCGTGTTTTAAGAAACTATTAGAGCATTCGTCTGAAGAGCGCAAAACCTGTCCAGACAAACGACTTCAGAGACAATAAACAAATTTGAGAAGCCAAAAATAAAACATAGTACTGCACAATACAGTCTCGATATCATCATATTCTTTATGTTTTGAGGCTCATAATCAAATAATAATTCTGCAAACGTAGCTTAATACTTAGACCGAAAATTGTGGACAATCGTCTGCTTTTCAAAAAATCCAAAGATTCAAAAAAAACAATTCTGCCTTCTGGTTTGTATGAACATGAAACATGATCTCATGCTGTGAGTGAAGAACAAATAACACGAGTCTGAAAACAAGAGTTCTCTGGGAAAATATCTGGAAAACAAATAACTCAGATAAATTAGAATGTTACTGAACGATGAACTTCTTTATTGATACAGGTCGCATAGTATTATGAAGAGCCCACAGGAAACTGGGGCTGTGTGCAAAACTTTGTTGGGGAAATGTTCTGGAAGACAGCCACGCTGAAGACGGAGATGGCATAAGTGGATAATTTGTGGTTATGAGAAGCGGGTGGTTGGTTAGTTAATTTAGTGGCTTCTTCAGTAGCAGGCTGTGTTAGCAGTGTTGAACCTGCGAGTTATGCTGCCATAGTCATGGTCACGCCAACAAAACAGGTATCTGTGCTATTAATTTTTGCTGATTAAAGACAAATGCCAAGATTCTCGTGATCGGTATCGCTACTACATGTCTCGAAGAAAACACGTATCTTTAAATATTTATGCAACCTATAGACGATATGTTGCTGCTTCCAGCAGCTAATGGGTTCAGACAGGAAGATGTATACCTGGGAGAACCAGTACTGTACACACTAGAGGTAAAAGCACCCTACAAGTTGCATGAAGAAAGCACGTGGGTACAGTTAACAAAGAATTCTTATTTGTTGTGGTAATGCGTAATGTCAATACAGGAGGTTAGGAGGTCGGTATTTAACGCCTGAGTTATTTTTGAGTAATTTTACAGTTGAGAACCTAATGTCGGTGTGCTCTCAAACAGGGGCATTACTGTTCTGTTTACTGAAAAGAACGGAGGTTACCGAGTCCCAGTCACGTACCAGTACCGGGCTACGATACCGAAATGTCACGAATGGACAGGCAGCTAGGGAGGAAGCAAGACCGATTCTCGGTCCGGAGAAACCTTGTCATGAAAGGTTTCCCGTAGATTTACCCAGTCTTTGACAGTATAATAAAATAAGCCACGACCGCTTTCTTCTGCAGCCTTCCCAGTTCATAATCCGCAAGAATATTCCCATTCGACGAAACAGTTTATACAGTTGAAAAAAGTAGTTAAATTAAAGCAATTAAACCAATTATTCAATTATTTTGAGTGGTTATTGGTTTATTTAACGACGCGTTTTCAGCTGCCTAGTGTATGGATCATCAAATGGAATGATTACTGAATTATGGATTGCTAAGAATGGCAGTGGCGGTCACGGCATTCGCCTTCAGGAGAAAAACTACGAAAGTCTTCAGTGAGTAGCCCACAGCAGAGTCCACTACAAAATCTTGACGGGGGAGATAACATCCAGAATTTGTGGCCAATTAAGTTCCCTTTTCATTACGTATCCCCATGTTTAATCATACGTGTTTCACTAACCCTGGTTTAACCAACATGCATGCCTACTTTGTGTCATTAGGACCACCCTCGGTGAAACAGAAGGCGAAATTACACAATAGACTAGCTTTGGCCAATCAGGCCTACAACTTGAAGGGTTAAATACACGTCCGTCGTATTTATCTCGATACACTTTAACTGTCACTACTGCGATGGGGTGAGACTAAACGTCTGTATGATGCATCTCAGCTCGGAAAAAAAGATGACTTGATTAATGGCTTTCCTCAGTTCTCCATGCCAACGCTATGAAAGTGCCTTTTTAAAAACAGGCCACATTCTCTTCTAAATCATTTCCGGTTCATAACTCGTACGTACATATTCTAATTCCATTGTACAGAGCAGAAAAAGCGTCTTAATAAAAGTTAATATCCCACCGCACTTTTCTAACAGCTGACCTACACTGCTTAAAGAGCTGTCTCAACTAAAATTGCTAAGTGCTCAAGTACCCTATATTCACCTTCCGTAGCAAATAAAGCTCACGCATAGCTGTATTTCTCTTTTCAGAAACCTGTGAAGGCCGAACTAAGATGGAGAAAACACCTTCGGTCAAGAACTAGTGACGTCACATCTTGACAACCATGGTGAAGTGCAACGAAGGAGGAGCTCCTGTGCTTCAAGGAGCGGCCAGCGAAAAACTAACTTCAGAGGACATTATAATACCTCAGTCTATCAGAAAAAACAGTCACAGTTGTCTAAGTGGCCGTGGTAGTAGCAATGCAAGTTCTTACGGATTCCGTCTTCAAGAACAGCCCCACGGTGAGACGGCTAGCCTCGGCGAGAAACTAGAGAGAGAGACCGCGACGTCCATCAGCGCTTACTCGACATACAAACAGCGTATAGACTCTATGTTCGATGAAACGAGATCGCAAATGTCATGTTACGGCGGGACCTGTGGCAGCAAAGGGCTAGAGAAGATACGGCCTGTGGCGGCGTCTGCTGATGACGAAGACGGAAGACGGAGAATCCAGAACACGGTCCAGGCTAGGATAGAGAAGATGTTCGCCGAAATGGCTAGAACCGCTGCAGGGGAAATAGGATCCAGAAAACCGTCTAGCGATGCCTCGCCATCCCCAGTACAACAGTCGCCCTCCATCAACCGTTTCGCTGTTGATTACCTGGGGTCGGTCCCTCTACCCGACAAAGTGACTTCGCTGCAAGGCCTCCAAGAACCTTTAAAAGACTTATACTTTGCTTATCGCCGTGCTATGGAAACGCATCAGGATCGTTTGGGTAGTGACGTGTACATGAAAGGTACGTTAGAAATTAATACAAATGGTCTAAAAGTGCATCATAAAGGCCAGGACAAAGGTGAACTCGAGCAATTAAATCCATTTCCTACAATTGCTGTATGGGCAGCTGTGAAATTCGTGTGCCGGGTCACTCGATCCCGTAATGGCGGTGTCAGGGGCATGGAGTATGCATTCTTACCTCTAATTGCAGATCCTGATGCTATTGACAAAGGGGCATTATTTAAACCGTTAAATCAACTAGAAGAAAAAACTATCGTCTCAACAACACAACGAGGTGGAACTGCGACACCATATAACCATCATTCGCCCATGTTCGCGGTGGTTATGAGAAAAATGGGAGTTTCTAAGCAGCTGGAGTGTCACGGGTTTGTATGCGCGTGCTCTGAAGACGCCATTGTTATAGCAGCTAATTTATATCAGGCGTTGATGAATAATATGCTGAATAGTAGCAGCAGCAATGAAAACAAAAGATCTAAGGTGCAACAAATCAAACGGACAAATCAAAATGGAGTCGATTACTTCAGCTTAGGAGGCGATGGTAGTATAGCAGATGTCAGCAAAAGCCACTCAGATGTTGCCAGTGTCCAGAGTAGCTCCAGCAAAACGCATTTTGTCGCTGTTTTAGCAGATGATGTGAAAGGAGAAGGAAAAGATAAAAAAGGCCCAACAGTGGCAAAAATTCCACCTCCCGTTCCTGTAAGACCTCCAAGGAGAAATAAGAAATCCTCAGCATCATCTGCAAGTGAAGACGGCGAAGATTTTGTAATACAAAAGAAATCTACTGAAAAGGTTACCACTCCTGAATCAACAAATGTGAACTGTTCATATGTAAGGAATAACAACATTCCTCGAAGAAGCATGGACCCGTCGACCCCAAAAACCACATTAGAAACTTCAAATACGACGGCTTCTGTAACCAATGGCGTCAGAAGAACTGTTTCAGATCGTCAAAATTATACCAGTGTACAGTTATCCACTGACAAACCAGAAGGCGGCGATATATTGACCAAGGTAGCAATACCACGTAGTCGAAGTTTCTTAAATGCTGGGGGGCCTCTGACTAGGTACAACAGAAGGCAAGGCAGTGGAGTACCTTATGCAAATAACGCTGGGGGCTCTGGAAGTAGTCCTTTGGGCTTCAATGAACTTTTTACGGAATTCAGGCTTCAGGAAGGACTAAACAGTATGGATGACATCCTAGATGTAATCATAGATTCCGAAGGAATGTCCTTTAATGACCTGAAACCAATCTACAAAGAGTTTCTTATGAAATTAGCAGTAACTCTTACAAAAGATGAATTGTATCAGAGAAGTAAGAGTATTATGCGACGGCAGAAGAAGAAACTAGGGCGTAGAAATAGCTGTTACAAGAGGAAGAAGACTTTTGTGACCAGTGGCGGTGGTTTTAAGAGAGTCTTCAGACGATCGGTGAACAAACTTAGGCCGGCTAAATCTCGTTTCAACAATTTCGAGTTCACTTCAGTCCTATTCCCATCAGATTCCGTCAGAAGTATAAACAAGGTTAATAAGAAAATCACGTCTTTGGGAACTTCGTCTACGTCAACTTCGTCATGTTCTACTAGAACTTTCAAGCTACACAGACAACCAAGCTTCAACAAAATCTATCCATCAAATGGTGGCTTTCGACTACAAAGAAAACCGAGCAGCAGTCGTCGGCGGTCCACGTCACAACGTGATATAAACAAAAACAGTAGAAGTCTAATGCAGAGGCCTCATCCAATGACGAGCACGTCTGAGGACTCAGACTTCTTCAGCATGGTGAGATGTGGCAAGAGTGTGGCAAACTGTGCTGCAACAACTATTAATTCCAGCAGAAGAGGTCCTAATAGGTCATCCAGCGGTTATTTTTCGTGCAGTGAATGTAGCTACGACAGCGAATCCTGTACGTGTATTTCGGCTGATAAATGTTACTGTTCCCTAGCGGATGCAAAGAAACACTCACAGCCCATTTCAAAGGATCTCTCAACGTCGTCATGCGGCTGCGAAACAGACAGCTGCATTGAAAGTGATAAATGTTACTGTGCATTCAGTTACCACAATCACAAAAGAGGCCATCACCATCTACAACACAAGAAGTGCATCGGGCCAATTCTAGGTTCGCATTCCACTACCCACAAACCTAACCATCCTGGAATTCCTAGAAACGAATCTGTAATTGAACAGCTAAAACAGAAAGGGTTTGTAGCTTCAGAATCCAGTCTCTCGAGAGCAGCATCACCAACAACAGCTTGGAAAAGAAATGAAAAACATGTAACATGCTCTAAGAAGAAAGATATCAACACTATTAAATCGTCTAAAAGCTTAGAATTTCTTCAGATTGACAATCCGCCTTCATTTCGCCCACACTATTCTTCAGTCTGGGGTTCCAGAAGAGCTAATCATGGAACAAGCAGAAGAATGGATGTTTATGACCTACTACCAAGAAAACAATCTTACCAACCTAACCACACAGGCACAAGCTGTAGAAAACAGACGAGAAGTTACAGCTCTGATAACCTTGCTCTTGATTATGACCTCTTCACAACTAGCTCAAAATCAGAAGATGAAGAATCAAGCCCACAGAGGCCACAACAGAAAGTTCTGGTTGTTTCTGCAAGGGATCCTAGGGGACGGGTCATCTATATGGGAGCTTCATGTCGCAGTGACAACAGACTGCAATCCCAAAGCAAATTTATGCAGCCACCTTCCTTATCCAGTTTGCCCCCATATGCCAATGGAAAGAGGCAGCAAAAATCTAAAAGCGACGTTGGTTCAACATCAGCAGCATGTGAAGCGCTATCTGTCAAAAAGTCTGCTGAGATTGCAGCATTGTTTTCAGATGTAAAGCTAACTCAGACAACTGACATTGTTGCCAGGAATGCAACTAACGTGGATTCTACAAGCAACACCGGAGAAGTGTTCTATAACACTCTGGAACCTCCAGACTACTTCCTAACATCAAAAACGAGAAATAGTAGAAACTCCATAGGCACTGGTCTGGAGAATTCACTTGGGTATCTGCCATGACACATGCCAAAAGATAAGCAACAATAAATGAAGAGAATTCTAACACAGGCCTATTTGTTACAAAATCTCCAATGAAGTTATCCGTAACACAAATCATAAAGCAATGACACACTTTCATTACAACAGAACAAACTTCATGAAACAGAATAAACAATCTGCCACTAAGATTATCAGCGCAATTTCACGAAAGCATCCAACATTAATTATTTGTAAAACTGAAAGGCTTTCACTCAGTCCTTCAGTAAATTTGAATGTACGTATATTACAAACTGGTTACTACTATATATTTATTTTCAGTTTGAAGTTTGCATAATTTCCTACTTCAATTCAAATATTTATTCAATATCAATGCTTTAAGTCAAAGGAAAAATCTCAAATAATTTATGTGTGTCATTTAAATTTAACTAGAACACATTAGCTACAAATAAGTGTGCAAAATATAAGGCATATTGAATGGTTTCAGGTGTGCTCAAAAATAAGTAGGATAGTATCCTGCCAAAGTTCACAGTAATTCTACCACCACCGTAAAATGCGTTTCTGATTCTATTAGATTGTTAGGTATAAAATAATTCAATGATGTTTTTGGTAAAACTAATTTAAGTCTATTGCAGGAATTGGGATATTTATTTTCAAAATTAGTTTCCCCCAAATTTGATCCCTTAACAGCGAACATTATGCTTAAAGGTTTTTCCTGCCACAAACTAAAAATTCACTTTACACTATACTTTAACCCGTATTACAGATAACAATTTTGCCTTGAAAAGGTAAGATATGTGACAGCACGTGATAAATGAACAGAAAAAACAAGTCTTGTAGCATATCTGCACTCTTAAAACATTTCTTACTTCAGCAAGTCAACTTTCTAATAACACGGACAGCGTTACTTTCTCAGCTAATACAAAATTCACGTGTATGCCTAATGGTACAATCACAGAGCATATTACATAACTTGAGAAAAATAATTAATTAACAAATACCATCAACAGTTTCATAACAGATGCATTAAGAATATATTCTGAAAAAGTAAAACAAAGTTAACGAGTAAATGCATATCACGAATTCCACTTGACATACGAGTCTTAGGAAATAACAACTAAAGAAAACTTTTGCAGGAGCTGAGTTGTGCTGCCAATTTCTACTCCATATTTCATTCACCATGTTCCACATACAGAGCGTAACTATGTCTTAATTAAGATAAAACAGGAAATATGAGCAGTAAAACACGAATACCTAGTGACAGGAGAGACCCAGTTATTAAGTGTAACAGCCCTGTTAAGTTTTTAAACTATTATGTTGCGCTTCCTGAGTTGAGGTAATTGTTTTAATGCACTAGTGAACAAATACGCTTCCTTCCTTATGAAACTAAACATCCGAGTAAATGAAACTCTCAACTCACTGTTGTTGCACATTCTGGAGAGATGGCTGGAAGAATGATCCCCTGCTTTGCTTTTCATTACAAGTGCCTCACAGATTTTATAGCATTAGTCTACAATACGTAGTCCAAGTTACTTACAGTAGTGTTAAGTGAATCAAACATAAAGAAGAAAGGTGTACTCCATACACAAATTTTCAAATGTGTCCCTTACTATCTTGCACATTTCAGTGCTACTGATATTCATTTATAACAAATAAAAGTTGGTAACAGCAAAGGTAATCACACAACGAACAGCCAGAAATTATTTTTCTTTGAATTCCGTTAAGTATTCACAATAGAGAATTTTTTTTCAGATGGAAGTTACAGATCTTCATAAGATCATTTTATTATGTACTTTTTGTATGACAGGTCATTTCTGGGGAACCTGATAAAGTCTGATTTTAACTTAATGCAATGTATCAGTTATATCAAAACAATATGAACAGAACCGCTAACACAGTACGGAGTAATTTTACGCACTTCATACAAAGAAAACAAAACGATAAATGGAACTGTTCTGCATGTTAAAAGCCCGTCAGTTGATATGATGGTCCTATTTGCCAGTCCAAAGATACACGAGCTATGAACGACATCAATACAAGTAATTCCTTTTAACAGTTTACTGTACACTTGGCCCTTGACTCTGTAAGAACCAAAAATAAAATTAATTCTTTCACGTAGCCATGTCCGTGTCCTATCCCAACAGAACAACAATATGCCAATAAGAAAAAACAACAAAATAACTGGCCACCCATTCCACTACATTTTTCTCATCGAAAATGTTCAGTGTTTTGAACCGAGTTTTGGAAAGTTACATGAGGTTTTCATAATGAAAAATTATAAAGAAACTTCAGACACACAGCTATATTTCATCTGCTGAAACCTTTATGTTGCGTGTGTAAAAAATGCCAAAGGAGGTTGAAAATAACATTACATCTTGAATACACTGTATTAACTTTGACTCTTTCACTGTGGAGTTTGCAATAATGCAATACTTTTCCTAGAAGTGCAGAAAATTTGACTCTCCTGAAAGCTTTCACAAGATACAGCTTTGTTTTATAAGCTGTACCAACTTGTACGTAGTGTTACCATGTTCTTGAAAGGGTAATGATACAGACTTACCTCTGTACCCTATAAGCCCATCTGTCCTCTTAGAGTAAAAATATATGCTTCTGTTTTGACAAGGCTGGAGATTAATATGATTAATTTGCAGGCTAGATTTCTTTTCCTAAAAGGAAAAGACATAGACTAGTGTATTTTGCAAATAAAATTATACTTTTAGATATATCGCACAAAATCAGAAATGCTATTTTCTGGGAATGTAATTATGTTCGCATAACTTTAGAACTAAATGCAACAAGAGTGAAGATATTAAATTCTTACAGAATCTTTGAGCATTCCATACCCCATAATATAATTAATGAAAACCTCAATCAAAATGCACAAAACATAAAATACCACTGTCACTGTGTTCTAAATTTTGTCCATTATATTTCTAGATTTTCCAAATATATGTTGAAAAAACAAACAATTTTATGGCTATTAACTCTCTTCTTATTTCATGTAAATGATTCAAATATTTACTATAATTATCATCATATATTAGGCTGTTTAGTCCATTCAAACTCCAAATGTAATAAACTGGATTTATATGAAGAATTTTTAGAACGAAACTCATATTAAAATGCGTATATTAGTTCAGCTTTGCCTTTTTGGAGCTTCAGTTTATTTTCAGTTTCTACGTTCTCCTACATTTTGTAATGAACTGAAACAGTTTGTTATACAGGTCTACAAAAAATTCAGATCTACCGAAGTCCTGAGTGAAACAATTTCATTTTTACGCATAATTAACGAAGAGATGCAATGTTCTATGAAAAAGGCACATCCCTTTTAACTGAGACCTATTATATCACTGCAAAATTAGCTGAAAATAGCTACTGTCCTATATAACCACACATTTGTACTGACAGATAACAACTGACATACAAAACAGTTATACCAACAATGTGTAAACTTATGAACTGGCACAATGCGTCAACACAGAAATGAAAACTGCCAATACTGCACCACATTCTAAATAAACTAGTTTACCACTCTGCTAAGAATGTCCAGATTCTTTGTCTAAGACAGCGTAGTAATACTAGCTGCATTCTGTTTTCTGTATACTGCAACCATATGAAATTGCATGCCCTTGCACAAATCATGTTGGTGTAACTGTGAGACTCCACCCAAAGCAAGGTGATCATGTTTCATGATAACCAATCCTGAACTTCAACCTAATAAATTAATCATAATTTTGTCTAAAATCCTAAAGACATTACAATACCACAGTCAATTAAAAAAGACTTCTAATGCTTATTTTATAATTGAGTTCATAAGTTGGAAAATCCTGTATTTATAATCATCTGTGCTGTGAACAGGATGACACTTCACTGCTCAGGTTTTACTGTGTTCTATTAATAAGTTTGTGTTATGCAATGGAGAAGTTTCTATCAATTTTAAGATAATTTTATTTATTAAATACTTAGATTTAATATATAGTTCACAATTATTTTACAAGCAAGAAAAAACTGCCTATTACCAATGTGCAGAGCCCATAATCCAAAAATGACTGAATAATATAAATAGATATGTTGTTCGGCACAGAGAGACGGGGCTGCAATGACAAGAAATCTGTAGGTACTGTGTGGATTATTATTCCTCATACGTGGGATGCGTATCTCATAAAGTAAAGGTTAATTACTGTTCTATGTAATTAATGTTTGTAGTAATTTTATGCACATACTGAATTTCTTCATATTTAAATGTTGTATGTATTATAATAAATTGTTCAGAATTGTTCTAAACAGTTTGGAAAATAATTAAATGGTGAAAAAATTTATATATAGTAATGCTATGTTTTTCATCCTATGTTTTTCTGAATTCCTCCCCCAATATTGTCAGGGTGATTAAGTCGAGAAGAATGAGATGGGCAGGGAATGTAGCGCGCATGGATGGGACAAGAGTTGTGCACCAGGTATCGGTTGGGAAGCCTGAGGGCAAGAGACCGCTGGGGAGACCTAGACGTAGATGGGAGGATAATGCCAGGTGGAATCTATGGGAGATGAGAGTTGAAGGAGACTGAACCTTCGGGTTCGGTAATCCATCTAGTTAGTTGATTAGTTAGCATGTTAAGTATAAATATTATGCGCAATAAATACATCAATAATTCTCATGTATTTCATTCACACCACAAACATTTAAACACCAAGTGTATGACAGGGAGAAATAGAACTGACTGGAGTATAACAGAGGTTTCATCTAATTACATGCCAACTGAAGTCCAATACAGCAGCATGTAGATTTCAATGGCTGGTTAAATCTATTCAAATTTACTCCAACTTTACATAAGAAATATATCCTAACCCAACATTTTTGGTCACAAACTCTTTTGCCAAAATACATATTATGGATCATACAAATTTATCCAAACAATTATATTTCACACTCATAACATATATTCAATTCAGATCACATCTGAACTTCCTCTGCCCAGTAAGTATATCTGTGAAGTGACCATTATGAGTGAACACAATTGTCGGGAAAGCAAAGACTGGCAAATATCTGATTCTCCCACTACACACAGCAAAGTGGTCAGTTCCATGCTCCAGCCACTATATCAGGAAAAGTGGTAATGATACCCTCCAGACAGAGGGCTGGGTGGGGTCAGTGAAGAAACAAACAATGTCCTGTTTGGTATATAATATTAAAAAAAAATCAGTCCTTGATAAAATCTTCATCCATTTTTTGGAACTTCTGATGTAGCTCAAGAGGAACATCAATGTCATGAATGTTGTCTTCACCAATTTCATCCTCAGTTCTACATAGCAACACAAGAACAAAAACAACTGCCAATATGATGGCACAAAACCCCTATCAACAAACTAACCTACACTCGACATTCAACACAGAAAAACAGTGCTCAAAGGAAACACATTCAGAAAATATGACACCATACCATAATATGAGCATCACAAAGCTGAAGAAAGGCAAGCAAAGACAAGCAACACCACTTCAAATGGAAAAAAACATTCAATGTGTATAAGAATAAAAAGTATTGGGTCACCGTTATCAACCTGTCTACTTCCAACATGATAAGGTTAGAATAAGCAAAGAAGAAATTTGCAGTTAATTTGTATGGGTGTGAAAGGCCATCTGTTATTGTAAAGGAAGAATTACAAGTGCCTGACAACAAAATGCTCAAGAAAATACCTGGACTTGTATATAATGATCAAATTAGGATGTTACACCAGAAGGAACTTCATGACTTACACCAGTCACCTAGCATTGTTAACATAGACTGTGCAAGAAAAGCAAGTGGAAAAAATTGTATTCAGTATATTTTAGCAACAATTATTCTCTGCCATTGCCTTGCAGCCATGCAAATGCAACAGACAAGGAATTGTTGTGTGAAAGAAATGCAATGTATGTAAAATGAAATAAGAATAACAAACTTGTCTACGATTGGCATGTTTCATTTCATTTAAAAGTTGCCTGCACGGTGTTTAATAAAAAACATGTTACAGAATATAATGAAATTTACAACCTTGAAGAGTTTAAATTAAAAAAATCTTTTGTTACCAACCAACTCCAAATAGGACAACCTACTTTTTTAGAGAATACATATTACTTTCAAATAAAAGTACAAAAATATATATGTTGTGCACCTCAAAAGCAATGCATTCAGCACTGAAGAAGGCTATAGATATAAACAATACCAACTCTTTCAGAAAATTAATGTATATTCTTTCACTCACAACAAATCCTTTGTCTTATTAACAATAAGCATATTCCAAAACTCCACATTTTTATCATACAAGATCATCATCAGGCTCTATAGATATTATGCCTAAAGCAGAATTTAACTTGAACTGGATACATTACATAGCTCAGTTGTTTTAGATACATTACATTTGTAATGTACCTAAAACAACTGAGCTATGGAGATTAACATATTGTTAAATGAAATAAAATAGAAATGTTTTGAATTAAGTTAATAATGGCTTTAAATCAAGTTTGTATTATATAATAAGAACTACCTTGAAACCATTTAAATTATATAGAGTACAATAATGAAAAATAATGAACTTCACTGCTTACCTGATAAGGATGTCTACAACATTCTCACAGGCAAGCAACACTGTTCGATCCTTCTCCCACTTGTGGAACTCACGAAGGATCAAGTATGTATTTCGTTCACGCATTAGTTCCCTTGAACTCCGTTTTGCACATAACTACAACAATAACATGTGTAACAAATAAGTTAATCCATACAACAAATCTTCAATAATTTTGGTGTTTGAAATTCAGTGAAAACAAATTCCTTCTGCTGTTTCTAAACGGCTCCAACTATTAGTGAATCAAAGAAAACAAATTGTAAATTCAAATGAAAAACTTACTATAAAAAGTTGTTAGTAAAGCAAAAATAAAATTGTTATTCACACAAGTAAACTACAACCTGCTTCCACTGCCATCTTATAGAACAAAGATAATTACAACGCACTATAATGCAAGAGAACAGAAACAAAAAAGTCAACTTCATATAGGCAAACTGTTGAACACAGTCAAGTCTTAATGTTTACCTCACAACAGACCCATCACAAAACTGAGAAAAGCAAATTAAACTAAACTAACTTTGACCAAAATACTGCCAAATTTTGGTTTTCACATAAAATATGAAAGCTACTATGCACAATATGAAAATTAGTTGTTTTAACTGCAGTAGTTGATACACAATGCAAGAGTTAACTATCACAACTATGGTGAAACATGAAGCAATCAAAAGAAAATGATGATCACTGTACAAATCACTGTAGAGATAAGCACAAATATATAAATCAATTTTATTATATCAAGATTCTACACACCTGAATTAAAGCTTCCAACAGCATTTTCCTTATGTCAGGATCTGTTTCCCGCAGTTTACTTTCTGGTAGATACTGTAATTCTGGAGGTAATTTGTCCATTTCAGTATCTTCAAACTCTTCAGGCCCAGCCAAAGGTAGCAGCAGACAAGGTAAAATGTCCACTTTTGGACTTAGCAACCAATCATGATTCTCTGAGAAAATAAAAACAAACCTAATCTTGCTAATTTCTTAGATACAAATTCATAATGCAATATGGAAAATTCAAGGCTTCATCATGCAAACAGAAGTTGTATATAACAAGTTTATATTTTCATTCAAGAGTCATAATTCAAGGATAAAAAAATATAAATTAAACTTACCAATGTCAAAGCAACAGTTTCTTAAAGTGCCCACAATACCGCCTCTTCGAACATGAGAGGATTCATACTCAGTGAAGGGTAAAAGTCTCTGAATGATGCATCTCTCGTGATCCATCAAGAACCTATAAACCAACAAAATATTTCAATCACATTTTTTAAAACTGGTTAGTTCATTCATCAGTCTTTCATTCAGAACTTATTTTCATAGGCATATATATATATATATATATATATGATTAGTTTAGAAGTCAGCCCACAATTGCCTATTTAATCTATAATAAAGCTGGAATATAGTAAATGTGAAATAAATAATAACAAAGTAGCATAAACATATAACATAAACCAAAATATTGGTAGTATTATATCACTAGTTTTCCAGTAATATGACTTAAAATATTGATATGAAAAAAATTTCACTTTAGGTGCCTGAATGAGGTCTCTGAACCAAAGTTTCAGAATCATTCCCATAACCCAATAACCCAAGGCCCTAAGTCTTAATTCTATGTTATGGCCACAGAAACTGGCAAATACTTCCTGAAACAAAGCAAGCATAAACATTAAATTCAAAGGTTTTCCTTCCTATAAACTAAACAGAAAACACAACTCACCTTCTGAAAGTTATAGACTGACTAAGGTTGGAAAACATTGGTCCAAGATAGTGAAGATTGGCTCCTCTTCTGTTGTATCCTTGTGTTGTAAACACAGATACAACCTGATCCAAAGTAAACCCACATTTTTCTATCAGCAAAATCACATGTTCAATGTTTCCTGAAGGTCGAGTCAAGTTTGAAAGTATCATGCATGCATGATCAGCAAGGCATGAATCAGGATCCATGATCATCTTGATCATCACCACAACAATATTATTATCTGAATCTGCATCCTAGAAATATAAATAATGTACTTACATTTATGATTAACATTATGGGCTCTGTAAAATTTAAAGTGTTCATTTCAAATTCAATATGATGACTTTTGAGGCTGGAGTCAATATTCTAATTAGAGAGGTATATCCTTTAGACCCAGGGACTTTTATGATACCAGGAACCTAAAGGGAGACCATGATTATAATTGCCAATAAAACATCACTCTTAAACAGAACTTCCATCTGAAAGATACGTCACTGCAGGAAGCCAGCAGTTTTGACATACCACCTTGGAAAGCTGACAGTATCAGGTAAATTTAGGGATGCTGAGAAGATAATTGTTCCATAGGAAGGTTTCATTTGGGAATGACCAAGTGTCTGGAAGTGTCAGGCAGAAGCTTAAAGCCAGGAAAAGCCAAAACAATAATCAGCTCACAGCAGCCAGGGTATGTGGCAATAGGCAAGTCTAGGTAGACCCTTACCAGGGTGCCTAAAAGGCCCAGGTCTGAAGGTAATACCCAGATTAAAGTGGTTAACCCTCACCACAGACCCAGGGACTCCATGTAACCTGGGGCCTATAGGGAGACCTTGATTATGGCCACTAACAAAAGACCTCTTAAATGCAGACCTTCCATTTAAAAGTTGATTCCTCCCAGCAAAGAGCTAGCAGCTCTGACATACCACCTCAGAGAACTGGTGGAGACAGCCAACCTAGGAATATTGAGAAGACAACTGTTGCTTGTTTGCCATGGGACAAAATGGAACATAGGAATTTGAAAATGTGGCAGGAGAAATGCAAAGAAGCCCTTCAACATACAGCTCCATCTGAAAGTTGATTCTTCTCAGCACTGAGCCAGTAGTTCTGCTATACCCCATCCAGGAGCTGACATTATCAACCAACCCAGGAAAGCTGAGGAGACAACTACTAGATCCTAACACGTATGATACTGCACTTCATGGGAGATACAAAGCTGCTAGCAGATTAAGCAAACAGGGTGCATAAATGATCAAGAAATAGCTGCACTGTAAGGGTCAGTCATGGGGCCCAGCACATTTACATACATACGTACTGTGATAACATGGACAGAATTATCTTTGTAACAGTAATAAATTTCTTATTTATAAAACCAGAATCTACCTTCTTTGGCATCATGCTATACTCTCACCTGTGCTGTACCTTTACTGTCATGGCTAAAAAGCAAAGACCTTGAACCCAGTTCTTCAGCAGAAATATTGACAATAGCCAAACATGCTTCTTTGGCAATACTTTCAGACTTGTCTTGGGCGAGAAAAATCAACGCTGACAACAGGCATGGACGACGTAACAGCATACATCTCCCATCCTCTGTTCCCGTTAAACCTAAAACACAAAAATGATAAATTCCTCATTCATTAAATGGGCTCCAAAGCACACGTGCTACACAAGTTCGCCCTTACCCAGTACACATCCTAAAGCAACAGCTTTTAAATCAAGTCTTGCGTCAACTCTGAGGAAGCTCTGAATTTCGTCTATTGAATCCATTGTAGTGAAAAAATATATTTATAACTACACGACAAAATGTATTTCAGAAACAACGAACACAGCATTCCGCCAACATTTGGAAAATCACCCACGCTGACAGCATCGTAGTATAAAATATACCTAAATCCAGTGGGCGGTTGTGACACATTAATACCATGAGAAGTACCAAAGATAAGCCATTACATTCTAAATAATAAATACACTTAATCCAATCGGTAATGTCTGATGGAACGTCTTCCCAAAATTCTAACATTTGATATTCTCGTTCATTAGCTTATTAACTGCAGGGTTTAGTAGTTAATAAATGTTATTGGTAACCATATCATGGATACTGTTCTACCATCTATTTGTCGGGGTCTGATAACAACGCCAGCTATGAATTCAGTAACGATACTTCAACCGGTAATAAAGCAATCTACTATTAATTTCCACAATTTATTCCGTCTTCCACATTCAACACCATAATTAATAGTTTTGATAAACAACAGTTAAGCTTAATAAATCTTCTGGGTAAACATATGTATGTATATTAACTACATAGGATTTCGGGATCTCATGGCGGTGAATACAAAGATAGCTGTCTTGTGGGTTGTAACTCAATGTAATCAACTTGCTGTCTCCATCATCAGGGTGATGATGGAGGCAGCAAGTAACTCTAAAACGATGATAAACTTCTACCTTACTACATGGTGCTACAACCCAGAAGACAATAATGGTAAAAGTTGGCTCCTCAGAAATACTTGCCATTCCTTTGAAAGTCACCTACATGTAAATATTTCAACAAAATCAGTGCTAAACCCTCTTAATCAAATGAAATGGATTAGTGTAAAGTAAATCATAAATAAATATTCATAGGCAGTTCCAAGATCATGCAATACACATCAGACACTTGAATAATCACTAATATAAAAATGTTAAATTGCTTTTATTTCCTAGAAAGGCCCAAAAGATCCAAATTTTCAAGACAACTAAGTATAATGTTTGGCCAAACAAAACCATAACAGAACAAGTTTAATCCACATAATGAAACTCCATTCAAGGCATTATATTTATCGATCACAACAGCTTAGATTTCTTATATACAATATAAGGAATTATATGTAAAGGAGATAATGGTGCAAGTAATGTGTCTTCTTCAATATGCTTTATTCTGTTGTTCCATATTGTACAAATGGGGAATACTTGCTGAAGTAATCCTATTTTTATTAATCAATGTTACACTGCACTAGTAACATTTAATTTCACACTTGTTAAAACTGTCATTTACTAACACAGCAAGTTCCTAAATTCTATGAAAAACTTTCAGATTTATTCTCTTACATATCACAACCTAACACTTAAAACAACAGGCAGAAATAAATTATTTTTAAGGATAAAATAATTTATCCCTAACATGTTAGCCATAATCATAATCTCTTCTAATGTTATTTTAGAACACATCAGCTTTTTTAACACTCAGAACAGTAAGAAATATTTCCTCCCATTTTATGAATATTTAATAGCTGACACCAATGAGAAAAAGTGCTGGTACTCTGATCTAAAAAAGGGGGATAATACAGAAACAAGACATACTGCAATGTAGCAAGCCAGAATAGTATAAACTGTGTTATAAATATCAGACCTCAAGAGACAAATGAAGAAATATTTATCAAAAGACAGCTCATCTTTATGGTAAAAGCAATGGATTATGATGATAACTAACTAGATGGCTTACTGAACCCAAAGGTTCATAACCGAATTAACCAAAGCCCTCCACCAGACCCTGTCCTGGGCCAACAAAATCCAGTCTCCCATAGATCCCGCCTGACATTATCCTCCCATCTACGTCTAGGTCTCCCCAGTGGTCTCTTCCCCACCAATACCCAGTGCACACCTCTTGTCCCATCCATGCACGCTACATGCCATTATTTTAACATCCAGACCCAGTGCCATAACAAATCAATGTAACATTCCTCTCTTGCATATTTTATCATCATGCTAGCCACATGAAGATCTCATCTAGGATATTCACCTTAAAATTATAGTTTCATTCAAGTAGATTAAAATGAAACATTGTAACAAGATTTCATCAGTTTTAATAACAACCCATACATTAAATTCTGACACCAAATATTTCTTTGAAATTTTTTTTCTAATCAATGATCTTTTTCAGCCTACTCTTCACCGATATAGTAACTCTTTATATAGCTGCCAAAGCTAGACCAAGTTAAATACATTTATTCCCAGGTGTGAAATTATTTCTCTATAATGCTTATTTGTACAGTATCCAATTTCAATCGACACTTGGCAAGTGTTTTGGGTGGTAGTGAGACATACAGCAGAGATTTTGTCAGTTTTCAATCCCTCAAGGCTTTTTATCAATTTCTGATGTCTGTCATATACAAACAAGTTAAGACTACATTTCAAAGTAAGTTCAATTTTGTTTCTCATGTTGTTTGTTTTTTAATAAAATTATCTAAGATTTCAAAAGCATTCAAATTGTACTGTTTGTACAATACTTACAGCCCCAATAATGGCTTTATTCCTGGTGGCATATAACAGGATACCATAATGGCATATTTTTCACAAAACAAAGGATAATAGCAAGTTAAAAATTACTACAAATGAGGTAACAAAGGAGGTTTTTCAAAGTTGCTGTTTTAATATTGTAGGCATGTACTTCCTATTAAAAACTTAATATCTGCCTCCCTCCCCCACCATCCCCAACATTTTATCACATCCAAGTACCAGCACATTTCTTACTATGGGAGAAAAATCACTGATTTTAAAGAATACTTCAGAACAATTCAGTTATTAAATCTTGTTTGTACATGACTTCAATGCTTAGTTTTAATGCTGTTGTTGTTGTAGGAGAAGTAATTAAGAGAGCAAAGCAAGGGTTTCCTGCATGGAGTATTGAAACTTAATTTCATTCAATGGTCAAACAAAACAAAACCCATTACAAGTACCTACTTTCATTACACACTCTCTTGCAGAATTAGTGTCATGGCTTGAAGACTGGTTCTCTGATTACAGATTTTATCATCTTTCCAACCAACAGCTTTCAAGAAATTTCACTATCTTTTCTTTTTCTCCTAACAGACTGGATTTATTGGATTTCTTACACTTACCATGTACATGTTACAGCACTCACTGGTAAACAACTTAGTTAAGAAACAAATATATACAATACACAAATGAAAGCCTGAAAAATACCATTCCTTACAAAATAAATAAGACCCATTGTGTATTATGACTCATTATACAAAGCACACAAGAAAAATTACAACATTTGAATTCCAAGTTCCATACTTTGCAATATATTACAAAATCCCACACAAGGAGGTGGAACATATGACACAGCTGAAATGCCTTACTATTGTGACATTATTTCAGCAAAAAGTACAAGTTATAATATTTGACTCTACCTTCTAAATCAGCATTTATTTTATAATTATACTGTTCACTGTTATGTAATTATGGAAGTTCATAATTCAGGATAATTCAATTAATTTATTGAAGTGCTTGGCAACAGCCAAAAAGGCAAATAACAGCCAAGCACTAACAACAATACAATGTACAATATTAATTTATTTCAAAATAATTAATAAGTAAATGAGCTCAATATTATGGATAAGTAAAATAATAATTAAATTAAAATCAGTTCAATTTTGGACAAACAACATACAAAATAAAATTTTATACTAAATAAACAATAAAAAACAATGATTATTGTTTAAAAAGCTGACTGACATCAGTAAGCAAAACATGATCTTTGTTAAAGATGTCGATGCTCCTACAGACTGCATTGGCAGCAGAAACACATCTGGCAGAGGGACTAGCCTAGAAATTACATTGTACAGTAAAGGTAGAGTAGTCTCTGATAGACCTAGTGGGTATGCAAAGACTAACTGTATCAAAAACAGATGAGCAACTAATTTTTCCTTTACAAATATTAACGAGGAAAAGTGCATCCAAAAGCCTCCTCCTTAAATGCAACGATAAAAAATTTAATCTTACTAATATATCATCATAATTATAGGCACAAACGCCATTAAAAAATCTAGTGTAACATAGAGCTACAAATTTCCTTTGAATCCTTTCCAGTTTTAAAGGAGTCAGTATTAGTAATAGAGTTTGAAACAACGGATGCAAACTCAACTTTAGAACGGACTAAGTTTTGTGAGAATATATAGTTGATATTCTGGTGAAAATAAAGCTTACAGTCCAATAGAACACCAAGATCTTTAACACAATGGGAATGTGCCACCAGGTAAATACTGTTTGTCTTTCGGGTGAATGATACAACAGTCGTTTTACTTAAATTAAGTTGCATCCCATTCATAAGACACCAATTTTGCACTGAATGGATGTCGTGCCGTAACATTTTGCAGTCATCAACATCGCTAATACTACAAAATATCGTGAAGTCATCAGCAAATAAAAGGCACTCTGAATTATGTATGGAGTCGCAAATATCATTAATAAATATATTAAAAAGTAAGGGGCCTAGGTTGGAACCCTGAGGCACTCCACACTTAACACGATAAGGAAACGAAAGAGTTCCAGATACACGAACAAAGGATTGTCTGTCAGAAAGATAACTATGGAACCAATCAACATAACATAGTCCAAAGTTTCTAAGTTTACCAAGAAGAATATTGTGAGGAACTAAGTCAAAGCTTTAGTAAGATCAAAGTGTACTGAATCTATTTGTCCTTGAGTACTAACTGAAGGTAGAACAGAATTAAGCAGAGACATTCCAAACTATCTTTGGTGCTTGAAGATTGTGTTAATTTCAATGGCACATTATGTACTCATCACTAAATATACTATAAATATAAACTTCTTGTCTTTTTGTTCAAAACATGTTATTAAAATTGTTCTTTTCTCATGTCTACTGTTACATGTAGCTGCAAGTGAAGCCTCAAACTCACACCTTTCCTTCACAAACTATGTTTTCTGTTAATTAATAATTAACGAAGGTTATAAAAACCATTGAAATGAAAATGATCAGTGTTACAGTAAGTACTTACATTCTCCATATACAGAACTTACTGTAATGCAGGTAGCCCTCAATTTACGCCACGGCTGCATTCCTGGACGAACCGGCATAAATTGAAAAACCTTTTATAATGTAAATCAATGGGAAGTCAATGACATGCGTTCCCAGCACCCAAACATTGCCGTGTAATATAATGGCATTACATTTAAAGCTCTGAAATAACATAAACAAAATAAAGGGAATTTAAAAAAAAAATTATACAATTACAATCAGCAATTCATTGATCCCTGCGATTCTTTCATGTGACTGATGTGTACGGTCATCTCTGCTGTTATGAGATAGTTGCATTCATGTAAGACGTCAACCTATAGAAAATCGCGTAGTAAAAATAACCCTGGTACCTCCGCAGAGATTAAATTAGTCCTTTGAAAGTTTAAAGCGCCAGGAATGTAATTGCATAAGAGCAAACTCGCATATGCAAAAGTTTGCATTTCACAAACAGCTTTTACCGATTCATTGATCTCATTGGAACAATTTCACGTTAATGAAACATATGTAATTGCAGAGATGACTGTATTTATAATTTTTATTCAAAATCAGCGATGTAAGAATTACGATTTAGTATAAGAATCAGTATGAGATACATTGTAAAACATCATAAATAATAGTAAAATATATTTTTTCCACTTTTTGACTTGCTTGTTTAAAAATTGGCGTTATTCTGAATCGGTGCAAATCGAGGGTTACCTGTATATTCATTCCTAATGACTCTCATTTGTTATAAAGATATACATTTTAAAAATAAAACTCTGTCGATACATAAAATATAAAACAAACAGGATATCAAGTAAGAACTTAAACATGATGTCTGCCAAAACTGTTTAATGTCCATTTTTTCTCATTCTATAGATGTCTGTACTTTACTTAACATCTGAAGCAAACATAATTTTTAAAAATACATAAATGAGCTGGAAGGTCAAATAAATCCAATCCACATTTAAACTAATTTATACACAAAAGAACAATAAATAAATAAACATAAAATATGTGGCACTGGGTAAAAACACTGTACCATTAAATAATGAAATATGACCATGATACACAAAATAATCACCACCTCAATAACCTTCCAGAACTATAAAAGAAATGCTGGAATGTTAAAACAAATTCTTAACATACCAGATATAGAAACAGGAAGTTTTAATTTCATGGACTTCATTTGGAGAGCACAATTAAACTCTCTAATTTTATTAGTTGACATGATACGCACTAACTATCTTATACTTACCTCACTCAACAACTTGGGAATTCCAATCTTATACACTTGGAGAACTCTTAAGATAACAATGAACAAACTGGACAGCAAAGAAGGAAAAGGCCAATTATTTGAGCATACAAAAAAACATGTCAACAGTTTTCTTTGTATCATCAGTATGTACTGACCTTACTATAATGATAAGCACATATTCCTTCATTACCCAATTTTCAATTAAACGTGGCAAACAAAGGAGACTTATCCAAATGGTATAAGTTAAAATCCTAAGTATCTGGATGTATATTTTTTTGTGCCCATAGATTTCACTTCTACTGAAGCTTAAACTGTGGAAATGTGAATAATATAACATCCCACATCAAATTGTAGGTGCCTTCTGCAAGCTATCATTCTAAACCTATCACTTCGAGAAGCAGAAGTGTTCTCACTTTAAGATTTATAATTGTTTATCGTGATGGAAGGGGAAAGGTAGAATGGTAATTAAAGCATAATTGGAGAAAGCATCTGCTATAAATACACTATTAACTTGCTCATGTGTTAATATAATGCTATGGAAACAAGTCACCAAGTTAAGTTCATGTTAAAATGGTATGGACTAATGTAGCACATGAGTTGTCAGTATCAACAAAATGATTGCATCTTTTGTTGAGGCATCATAAGTAAATACATAGTCCAACAATAATTATATTTGTATACAGATGTAAAAAATAAAAATCTTTCTCACAAAAAGTCAGATCAAATTTAATTACTGCCAATCCTCAGAGTCACGTTTTAACTGGGTCATAGTAACTATAATTGCTAGCTCTATGTAGGCATATGTTCTGTCTGCCTAGAGCACAAAAATGTTCAGAAGATTATTACTTGGACAACTACAGGAAAACAACCACCATACACCCTTTCCACTCCAGCCAGATATAAGCAAGAAAGACATATTCACTGGAACCTGTTAAATGATAAATCTGAGTAAGAATCTCTGCCATAAGAAAGATATGCCATTCGAACTGTAAACATATGCAGAATGATGCTTGGTAAAAATTCATGGCTTTAAGCTTACATGCTAATAAATGACAATAAAGGAAATGAGACAGGTCATTTCTATTAATAGTGCCACCATGGTTTTCTTTAGATATATACAGACATGCTCTGCTTAATCAAGATTCCAAATTAAATATATTTGTATTAGCAATAGCATGTAAACAAGTAATAATTCAGCTGTTGAATTCCCAAGTTTCTGATTAAATCAGTAGTTATAAAAGTAAAATAGTTAATTTTATTAAGCTGTCATAGTAATTCAAATTACTGCTGCCAAAAAAGAAACTGAGAATAAGAAAATTGACAGTGGAACCACGGTTAGAATTTGACGTAAATACGTCTATACGGAAAGGAAGTTTATATATTGGCTTTATTCTAAATATTTCCTTTATACATGCTTTACAATTGAGTAAAGTTTGATTAAGACTTTGCTTATTTAACTTGAATTAGTTATGATTAAGATGGGTCTGTGGTAGGTGAATGTAATGTAATGAAATGTAATGTAATGTAAGGTAAGGTAATGTAATGTAATGTAATGTAATGAAATGTTTTATAGGTAACAACAATGCCGAGTAAACAGATGACGTTTCCTAGGTAACAATACTGCCGAGTAAACACAAAGTTTCCTAGGTAACCAGGTTACACTTTTTCATTTCCCTTTTTTATTCCCCTTTTTTGCCGAATGATCCTTCAATATAGACGTATTTACTTCAAAATTTTCTGACATACTAGATTAATGCAAAGCACAGTCCTGGTCGTGGCATCACAGATCCACATTGTTGAGGTCAGCTCCAGATGAAGACGGCAGTGCAACATCATCAGGTGGAATAAACTTGCCAATGGGTTGAATGGCTGCCTGGAATTAAACAGAATATTTCATATACATAAAATGGCTCATTAGATACACAGTAATTAACTCAATTCCAAACATTGGACTAGTATGATCACAGAATTATTTTTGTGAGACTTGGGCTTCTCAGGGCAGTGAAGATGTCAATGATGGACTTGTAGGCAGTGTCCAATATTTTGAAGAAAAATAATGCCTGCATCTTCAGCACTTCATTCCTGAAGATGGAAGCAACATTCCTCTAAAAATATTTTTAGACACTGTCCATTATCTGGGTAAGAAGGGTATAATGGTGGTTTTATAGTTGTGAAGCAACATGGCTTACTTTGTATAGCTGGCCCAAAATCTGTTTACAAAAAGGAAAAAAGGGAAGCTCAGAGATTGTGTTACCTTAAATACCCTGTTCAGCTGTAATAATAAAAGATTTATGCTACTCTCAACACTGATATTATGGTGTGTGGAAGCTTCAGGTGGAGAGGAGATTGGAAATCCAACTAGGTGGGGAACAGCTGAAGAGTGTACATAATGCAATGAAATCATCACAAAACAAAATGTCTCAGTGATCCAGTCTGAAAGTAACATACAATGTAATTAACACTGCACAATAAAGGTTACACAGCACTGTGACTTAAATCCCACAGACCTTATTTGGGGTATATTAAAACAAAAGACTAGTCAAAAGAAAACATAATTTATTTATTTACTTTTGGTTTACTTAACAAGTCAGAAGCTCAGACAAAAAGGCTGTATGAGGAATTGAAATTGTTCCTCAAATGTAAGAAGCAAGAAATACACATATAATTTTGGCAGGGTTGCTTGGAAAACCAAAACCTAATTATATCAAAAAGAGAACTTCATGCAGTCTAACAAATTCAACAGCATTCTGCCTCAGGAAACTGAAGAAATTTACAGCTTCAGAAATAGCATAATTATGTTCACCATGTGAACTGAATGGACTTGCAAAATGGAAATCTTTCTTACATCACAACAGCATGTAAAGTTCAGACCTTACCTTTATCTCCTTAAGCTTCCTCATCTCAGATTTGAGTTTATCCAGGATAGCAAAGTTGGGTGAGTTGATAGAAGCTTTGCTCTGTAACAATGTGATTTCCTGCTCCTCCTGTTTCTTCTCTTTTATACTCTTCACAGATCGGTTACCATACAAACGTAACAGTGATCCCCAGCTTGTGATATGAGGGTGCAGCGCCTATCAATATAACTAAATCTTAAGGTGTGTCTGTATCATCAAATAATGTCACATGTTGGAAGGAAACCTTTCATATGAAATATTAGACAGTATAAATAATACATAAACACTGTTACCATCATTGTCACTGATGTGTAACTAAGTGAGGTGCCTGGTTCAAATTTCCAAGACCTTCTTCTCTTGGTTCTTCAGTCATGTTCTCAAATTTCCTGTTACTGACTTTAATTTTAGTCTTAATTACGCTGTCATCTTGGGCAACCCACTGCTTTCCAATCATTTCATACGAGTGTCTAGTAATTTATTGACTTTAATTTTAATGCTAGACTGGTCAAAAAATTACTAGCAGAGTTTAACACTACCTCAACTGCTCTGTGTACTTTTTTGTTTATTGTTTATTTAACAACACTGTCAGTTACTCAGACTATATAATTTCAATGGTAACAGATGCATACAAGATTAAAATCAGGCAGCCACTTAAAGAGCTACAAAACCAATCAAATCTACCAAATGACATACCTGTAGAATGGACTGTGATGCTCTTTGTTTCCCATCACGCTTATTTTTGCATATCACTTTGGCCCTATGTCTTCCAACCGTCATAGTAAATTCATTCTTCTGGTGACGGAGGGTGTTGACCTCATATTTTATGTGCATCTCGCCAAGACCAAAGTTCCTGAAATAACATACACTTATTTTAAATACATTTACATGATGATGGAAAGAATATTACTCTCAATGCAGTAGAACATGTAACAAGAGTAACAGATGTCACTAAGAACGTAGCAATTTTTTCCCACAATTGTTTTTAATAGAAAGTTGTATTTATCATATGACTTTTTCTATTTTTTATTTACATATTTATTTATTTTGTTTAAAAACAACACTGTCAGCACCGAATAAACAATAAATTGAAAAAAATATGGAAGGAAGTGGTCATGGCCTAATTTATGGTACTAACCCAACATTTGCCTGAAGAAACTAAGAAAAGCCATGAAGACCTTAGTCAGAATAGCTGATATCCAGTATGACAGACATATTCTATACAGATTATAGTAATGTACTTACTATCTCCAAACACAGTTAATTTATTTCACCATTACAATGTCAAGATCAATCAGACTGTTGGTAAAAGTTGCATTTTGTAATTTTCGTCTGCTGCGTGCAACTGCCATTTGGAAGCAGCAGAAGAGGACAACTACACCATCTGAGGCAAGTAACAGATTTTTCATACCTGAATATTATATAGCAATCACAACAGCTGTTTAAGAAAGTCACAAAAAGGACAATGATCAGGAAAAGTTTAATAATGTACTTACCCTGGTATAAGAAGCCTTATTATCTGGAAGTCCAATTTGGTATGGGTCTTCTAAGCATCCCAGATACCAATACAATACATGCATTCATTCCATATACTTGGACAATCCAAATATTAATATAATATTAACTAAACCTACATTTATCATCTGAACAAGTTTTCACAGCTGATATTACATTAATCTACAAAGCAGATTACACGTAACTCAACTGTTACCTTTGTAAACATGTCAGAAGAATGGCATATGGTGACGGTTCTGTAGTTTTTGCACATAATTCTGCTACTCGAGGGTCTTCAATCTTAATCTCATCAAAAAACTGTAAACACAAATGTTAACAGCAACATAAAAATTATAACACAACACTATTAATGAAGGGTGAGGTAACCATATAATTAAAGTCCAGTTTCAATTTATATCACAGATATTTAATAAATGCATAAATTATGTAAATAGATTTAATAAAACAGAACAGAAAAGATCCACAGAACCACAAAATAAGCAGGGTCAGAAAAATATAATCCTATAAGAAACTATTAAAAGATATTTTCATATGATTTCTATAGAAATAAATTTCTGAATAAATGACTTCATCATCCTTGTATCAGTATTTCTAACCTAAATCATATTAATAAATCACTAAAATCTATTCAAAAGACTTGTATTTATCATATATCAAATGCATTTTTATTTCATATATAATGTGTATGACTTTCATTTATTTCTCTTTTCATCATTCTTGACTGAAGGACGAACATAGTAAAATGTGTACTCCGAATCGGAGCAATATAATACAGTATAACCAAAACTTGTACATAAGTTAATTCGCTGTAACAGTGACCGCCTGCTGATTAAAACAGGTGTGTCATCTTACTCACTGAGAGGTCTGTGTCCTGGCTCTTGCTGGTTCCACGAGCCCCTACTCGCTTGTCTTCTTGTATCTTCTCCCTCATTTCAGGAATTAGAATTTCAAGCGTCGCCCTTGCTGCCTCAGACTTTGCCTGCTTTTTACTGGTCCCATATCCAACTCCATACTGCATAGAGTTAATCGTTACTGTTGCAGCATATGGAGTAGCAGCATTTTCTACAAGTAACGAAGAATATTTTAAATAAAAATGTACAATACAGTGAATTACAAATGTTCTTTGAAATTATGGTCACAAACAAAAATGGAGAGAACATTGATTATAACAGGATACATTAAAATATAGATAAAAGAGTATAAAGAGACATAGGATGTCACAAAGAAAATAATGGATTGATTAGTGAAGCCCCTACATTAATACTAGCTATACAAAAGTACAGAAGATGACATACAGTTCAGTATCAATGCTATCTGTGGAATGATTTGGCAAGATAATGGCTGATGTTTGAGGCATCTAGTCACATCAGATCCCTGATGATGAGGATGCAGATGGTTCCCAAAACAATTGTTTCTTTTGATCATCTGATGTGACTTATGGACTGAGAGGATTTTATTGAGTATAAAGGAACATCTTTAAATAAAATCCACAAATTACCTAACTCCTTGAACTCATATGAAGGCTGTTTCTTGAGCGCATGTTGAACATATTCATGGAGAATGCAGACATAGCTCTTGCCATTTGGGTTCATTATCCATTCCTTTTTTGGCCCCCGCACATTAGGATGTCCTTTCCCACTGTCTGAAAAATTATAAAAATTTAACAGATGTAATAATATAGTCTGAATACATTCCAAATATATGTAGGAAGGTAAAGAATACAAAGTATGGAAAGACACAGATACAAGAACACCTGTGCAAAGACAGAAAATGATGGAAATGGTTTTGTCATAAGATGACCCATCTTGATGAATACATTAATGATTGATCATAATAATAATAGAAATATCATATGGGAATCGGGATATATCATGTACATATAAAAACCATTTGCTACTGAAACCAGATCACTGATAATAGAACATTTTACCGTTTGTTGTAGACTTATTCTAAAGTCTCAGTACTGGCCATATCAAATACAAGCTTCAACATCCTTCTATAATATTTAAATTTTCTTTTCTACATTAAAAAGTTCATTATCATATACAGTCTCTTAATAAACCAGTCTGTTAAAAGATTTCTTTCATCAATATTTCTTGCCTGCTTACAGTCTGTAAATAAACACAGAAGCCAATAAAATGTAGATAAAGAAGGCTAAAAGGGAGAGAAAGAGCAAAGCATATTATGGTATCTCTCTACCAAAGGAGAGAACAATTAATACAAACTGCATTACAAAAATACTTCTGCAGACTCAGAAGTACTCTGGTGGATGCCTATGACTTCCCAGTAGCTGTAAGCAAGAGCTTGGAAACTGATAGAAACAAAAGAATTTGCATGAAGCATACTGTGGACAGATTTTGTGAAGTGGCAAATACAGTTAAGTTGTATTTCTGGAGCCTCACCTCCAGTTACAGCCTTACCAACCTGGCCTCTGAAGACACAATGAAGAAAACTGAGTGCTACAAATTATATAAGTTTATTAAATTCTTGTGGGCTAAAGCTGACTATTTAGACAACTAAAAATCTTTTCAAGAACACAAATAAAATAAATATGTTAATATCAATGTGATTTATTTTCATTCTAAAGTTATGGCGAAATTGCTATACCTTGACTTTGAACAGGTAGAGGGAATTTTATTAGTTTGGTTCCTTCTGGCAGTGTTGGTCTCTGCAGTCTTTGGTGTTTTCTGTGCTTGGTAAAACATCTTCTGTCAGACCAAGACCTGAAATGCATGCAGAATTTCCATGCTACACATTTTAACTCTGTAATAACAGACAGTTCATTCCATTGCATTTATTTTTTAACCCTTGTACTGCCAAGGATATTTAAGTTAATGGGCAAAAAATTTCCATAAGTATCAAAATCAATTACACCAACTTTCCATATTCAATATGTCTGTCATTTTCAAATACCCACCAGTAGTAAAGACTACACCATTGGTGGCAGGAAAGAAAATTCCCATCCAAAACAAAATCAACTCAGCACTTTACCTATAGTGTACTTATGGGCCATGAACAATTCTCAAAATAAACATCTATTATTTCCTTAAACATCATTAACAAATTAATCTTAATAATAGAGACACGATGTATTTTCTCTGAGATAAGAAAATAATTTCTAAATATTATTTAAATGAACTTCAGCTTCAAAGGGTTAACTTATGGCAATCATTTGTCTATCATGATGTTTAACATATTGGTTTTCTATGGTCATCAGCTACTGACGAGACTATCCCATGTTCATGCAGGCCAGTGTGAGAGTTAAATCAACATAAAACAGCCCTCCTACCACAAATGTATTAATGACTTACTTGAACCTGAGGACCTTTATAGTTTTAAACTGGAACAGTTTCTGGCAGTACTCCCGCACTTGGATAGCATTTAGCGACTGTGTTGCTTTGTTCTCCTGTATGGTCTCAATGCAGGCACTTGGCAGTGAATTCCTGTCACCTGCACAAATCAATATAATCCTTAACATCTAATAACTGGTACATGTTATTATAAATACTGAAATAAGATGTTCACATCTGAGAACAACTTCCAAAGTTGTATGTTTGGAACAAAAACCACAAAAATGTATTGTATCCCAATGTTATATAATATCAAAACTTTGCAAATAAAATACAAATATAATGTACACAACTTTTCTGAAACATGTCAAATGGAACTCATAAAAATGTTCACATTCCTTGAATTGCCTTCCTTGGTTTACACTGTGTACTGGATAACATCAAGTAAAATTCTGACTACCAATACATCAGTTTCAGCACTGCCAGTAGAAATCCTCAAACATAACATGCATACCGACTTTCAAAGTAAAAAATTAAGAAGAAATATGCATAGAGTACTCAAATAAATACTTAAATAATATTTCTATAGTCTGAAGTAATTATGATGTAATTATACAATTTTCTCTAAAAGTGAAGTTGTATACATCAGTGAAAGGAATACCGCTCTGTACTTACCGTTCATAATGTTGGTAGCTGCAGGATCAGAATTGGCAGTAGGCATCTGCTGTTTGTTTACCGCTTCAGTCTCCAGTGCTCGCTGATACTGCAGGCATGGTATTGCGCTAAGTGGTACTTCATGTTTCTATTGGAAGAACAATCCACTGTTCAATAATACTAATAAAGTGGAGCATAGACCCACCTTAATGTCAATACATAAATAAATACATACATACTCCTATACTTTTACAAAGTATGTCAACTAGTCAAAGAAATTCACTTATACATTGCAGAACCAAGCATACATAATATACATAACAATTTTAACTTCTAAGAAAAGGAAACATTTTCAACATTATGAAGTAAAAATTTGGAATATAATAATCATTACAACTGCAGTATACACAAACAATAATCCAAATGTTTATATATATGATGACATTAGTTTCAAGGAGGTAAATCTTAACTATACTTTTCTGGCTTAAGAGCCCTACATCATCAGTGGAAAATTATATTTAAATGTCCTAATTTAAACATAAGGTGAGAGTCTATTATATTGTTCTGCTTGAATTGAATATTTTAAAGCATTACACAGCAAGCTCACTTACCCTGGCACTACCAGGCCCAAGGAAATATGGCTGAGAAAGAGTACAGACTCGTGACTGTTTGTGAAGGTAGATTGGCATTCCACTGTTGTGTGTAACCTGAACCCAACCTTCTGGTAGCACATCAAAGTGATTGTGTCCTATTTCTGTCAAAATATACATGAAGGAAAGTTTCTAAATTAATTTTTAGCAAATGCTTTAGAATCTAAAAATAATAAGAAAATAATTTTTAAGACACTTTTATATGTTGATGCTCATATCCAAGGGAAGAAGAGAGTTATCTGTCCACAGCTGACAAATATAGTTAATGGAATAACTAAAGGTTTTAACAAGGCATGTCCAAGGAACAGCAACAAGTTAACAGCCAAGTTATCATTTGAAAGATTAATTCATTTTTAAATAAAAACAAATCATGATAGATTTTTGAAAATGACTGAATGAGTATCAGGGTAAGACAAAATCCTAAATCATGTAATCAGAAAAAGAAATTGTTTTACAAAATTCTATTTTAGATGACATGAAAATAAAACAATTACATGGTACACACGGCCCAAAGAATGGCAAACATCAACTTTGATACAGTAGGGCACCGCTTATACGGCAGGTTAGGGACCAGACCCCAGCCGTAAAGCGAAAATCGCCGAAAAGCGGATCTTTGCCTTATTTCACTTGCAAATGCATATCAAAGCCTAATAAGATGCATCTTCATCATCTGACTCTTCAACGAATCTTATTCGTTTTGGTGATGGTTCGGAAGCCATAGACATGCCTTGTTCACGAAGTTTAATCATCTCTAACTTGGCATTTAAAGTAAGAGGCTTACGACTCCTCTTTTTATCGCTACTACCCTTAGACGCCATTGTAATTACACTGTAGTAACACAAAAATATTATATAAATATACAGTTTGTAATAACTGAAAAATTGCCAGAAATACAGAGAGACAAGGAGCGCACAAAAGCTGTAAACAGACTGAATCAGTGACGAGAGAATGGCGCCGGACACACTTCTCTGACTCAGCTGTTGAGCGCCGTATTAGCGGATCGCCATAAAGCGGAGCGCCGAAAAGCAGGGCCCTACTGTATGTTATACTAGATTATTACTATAATATGTGTTACAGCTGACAAAACAAAATGCTACATTGCAGTATATCAGGCAGGGAGATGTATGACCCCATTCCTGATTCCAATATCAAATGCACAAAGTTAAATTACAACAAAGTAAACATAATACCTTCCAATACAATCTTCTCCTTTTCTTCATAACGTGAGCTGGCATCATCACCATCTTTTTGACCAAAACTTTTTCTCCTTCTGCCCTTAAATTCCTCTGGCAAACCTAAAACAATACCATACAAAGAAACGAAATAAAAAAAAGAAAAAGTCTGTCACTATAGTGACAATCAATCATCTGAAGATCGGAATACAGGCAACTCTCAAAATATCGTTTATATCAATATATCTCACACAATGGGCAATGTTCAACACAGAATTTGTATACTGAATCAACCACTGTCACAAACCTTTAGAGAAATGTCAAGGGGCAGACTGGAGAAAATATTAATCTGGGGTTCAATAAAATATAGCTCAAGATAGGATCCAATGTGACACAATAATGATAAGCCTTCTAATTTTTGGACATATAAATAAGTATAATCTGCTCAGGGAAGAATCCTTATCACAAAATCAATTATTTGGTTCTAAAACCATGTTTTATTAACTTGAATAATATGAGAAAAGGGAAGTTAAATGCCCATCCTATGGGGCTGCTGGTTCGACTTTAAAAGCAAGCTTAGTGGATTATAAGAATGCTTAAGCAACACATGGCAAGCTGTACTACACATTAAGCCACAACTAAGTACCAAGAAATAGACTGTAAGCAGTAACTAGTGCCCTTTCATCAATTTCTGATGGTATCATAATATGGTAGGCTGCCATTCAAATATTTGCAGATTTTTGGTATATGCTTTCTGGAAGAATAAAAATGAAATGGGCTCATGAAAAATAAGCAGATTATACTATTATTGCAATAAAATTGTGAACTTGTTGACTGAATCACATGACTTAATGTTCTTCATACCTTCCTCCAACATAGCCTCAATTTCTTCATCTGGAACATCTGAGTCGAAACTTCCTTCTGACTGATTTTCTGAATCTTGATCATAATCTTCTTCATCAAGAACATCAAACTCTCTCAGTGCTTGGCTTTCATCTATGTCCACTGCAACATCTTCCTCCACCTCCCCTGTTTCTTCTGTTTCACTGTTTACTTCACATTCCATTTCCTGCTTCACTCTTGAAACTGATGAATCACAAGAGTTTGTTGCTTTGGCAGGTGAAACTGAAGCACCACTTGGAGAATTACAGTTAGTATTTGAAGACACGGTGCTTACTGACATATCTCTGGGTACATATGGGCACTTACGAGTCTCCTCAACACCTTCCCCTTCATCAGATGCTTTACGTTTTTGTTGAACCATCCTAAAGGAAGACTTTTCCTGTCTGTTGACAACAGATTCAGAAAATTTAATAAACTGCAGTTTTTAAATTTACTGTAGTTATAATCCAAGATCAGCTTTTTAAGTAAGCAAATGCAAATTACACTGCAAGGATAATTCTGCTTACTCGTATATATCAGAAACCTTTTCAGACCCAAGAGATTATTAGCATGTATATTTTTTGGCATCATTTCCTACACAATAAAAAATATGGAAACAACATAAAAACATAGCATTTGTGTTAACATCACAGTTGGGTGGTTAGTATTCCTGCTTCATATTTTGGGAGGTCCTGGATTCAAATCCTGGCCTGGAGATTGGATATCCTGACAGGTTCACATGCAGTTCTTCAGTTCCTCCAGGCAAATGCCTGGGTATTTTTAATTAAACTAAAACCACATTATTTCCAATTCATTATTCACTATTCATCCTATTACTTGATATGATACAGTATAAACCGAGCTAATGAAAGCATAATTAAATAAACCAAAAACAAAAATATAGGCTGTGGAACCTACACATCTATGCATTTGGGGTGTGAAATAGTAATTTACTCAAATTACCATTATCAGGATCTGATCAGAAATGTTGATAAGGCGTGCAGATGATCACAGCAGAAATTGGAAAAACACAAAGCACCGACTGGAAGCAGCCCTCAAGATTAAATAACTGAGCAGTATACACATATATGGCCAACTGCCTTTGGCACAAACAACATTCTTAATTCATTCAAGGCGTATGTGTTTTGGGTGAAATTTAGAAACCTCATGGAATAACAAATCTCGAATTCATGTGTAATGTCTCAGCATTTATTCTTGGTTTATCCATACTTCCTGCAACTCAGGATATTAGGCCCCATAGTTTATGTAATGTTACTGCCTGGATATCTATTTCACCAAAATAACACCTATATGCAGGGAGAACTCACAGTAAATATAACTGGTAGTAAAGAAAATTACATGAATGCATTTGGTGGAATTTTAACCTGCAACTGAGACTATAGTACCAAACTTTAATAACAAATTATGAAGGTCAGGAGGTATACCCAATTCCAATATTTGATATCTATTGTAACAAAAGTGTTTATATAAAGTGGACCTCACCAGATGTAACAAAAGCACTAAAATCCAATAACAAGAAAACAACACAACTTACTGGTGCTGTGAAGTAGTTTGTGTGAATCAAGTTGATAGCAAGCACACAGTAGAATATACATTTTTCACAAGACATTGTTTAGGAAAATGTACCTTCATGAAAACTATAGTATGTTTAATGCTGTCTTTTGTGGTTACACAATATAATGGATGTCTGCAAACTACTTGCTTCCATCCCGTTCCTTACCACAACACAAACCAACCACATCCTTGGTGAATGAGAGGTTGCCTTCACAGGGGGCCAGATCCCCCACTCCCACCAATGTCACCAAAGTCCAACCTGTTTATTTAAATCTGATTGGACATTTGCATTGGCAGCAGCAGGGATAACCAACCATAAACCACAACTATGAAGTTGGGTGGTGGTCGTAGAGGAATTTAATAAAAAGATGAATCAAATTGCAATGTCAAGAGTTCTTATAAAGAGAGAGAGAGCACATTCAAGACACACCAACCCCCTCCTTAATAGAACTTCTGCATTACATATTGCATCATGGCACAGATTTCGATGATGATCCCTTCCAACTCTCACATTACAGCGATAAGGTTGTGTACACAACATTTGTGTACCTAAGGCTCTTGTACATATATCGTTATGAACTGTTTACGTAATGAACATTACACATACAATAAATATAACATACCTTATTGTAGAATTGGTCTACTCACGTGTACATAAGCATGCATAATATTGATTAGAATTACTAAAAAATTCGATATTATTATCAACAATCAGCATTTGCGTCCCATAGCTACACCTGCATCCCACAACACCTTTCGCAGGATGGCCAATTTCTAAGACTAACTCTATAACGATTAAAGTTCCCTTTTAATACCCTCTGCGTCAATAAATTACCCGAAATTAAGTATTGACAAATCAAATCAAATTAAGTGATAATAGTTTATAACTGTTGATGCTTTCAGGACTTCACAGCTTGCATTTTTATTAGTAATTAGTTTTGCTGTTTCACCACGAAAAATATTATTCATGTATACACTTTGTCCACAGTCTTCCTTAATTTTGACCATTTTCAACCAAAGCTGACTACAATGCAGTAGCTAAGTACTTATTACGTCACCGAATCTGAGGCTTATTTACAGTTATTAGTCCTAACGTAAATCATCCTAGCCTATTCATATCCTAAGCTGTTTCTCAATTTGAGTTTTAGTTGGACTACTAGCCTAAACTAATCTTACTCGCGACTGGCCACCATACTGTGAAGATATGCTTCATTGTCTCACTGTTACACAATTTAAGAGTCTACCATTGGTCCCTATGTTGGGCCACTTTAATTCAGTCCACACTCTAGTGTTTCAAGATAAATTTTAATATCATTAACAACTTACGTCCACGTAGTTCAAGTAGTCTCTATCGATCAAGTGTTTGGGCCAAAATTTGTACATATTTCACAGATCTCCAATGTATACTACATGCCCCACCCATCTCATCATCACTGATTAGTCCATTCTAATAATACTGGGTGAACAGAACAAGTTATGAAATCCATTATGCAGATTTCTCCAGCCTTCTGCATGATATTACTACTACTGGGAATGATCCATTCTTCAAGTACCTGAGCACTGCGGGTCCCAACTTTTCTTTGACTTGATCTAAAGACATGGACATTCGGTAGGACTCCTTGGACGGGGGATCGGTCCGTCGCAAGGCCTGTACCTATACACAGGACAACACAATACAGAAAAACATCCATGGCTTGAGTGGGATTTGACCCGCGAGCAAGCAGCACAAGGCCCACGCCTCAGACTGCGCAGCCACTGCGGACCCCATGATCTTACTACAGAGTAAAAAACTCATCTTGTACAACTCCTGGCCTTTGGAATCCCTTCACAAATCTTAAGCTTGTAAAAAAGCCATGTAAAATTGTTGGTAAATAGCTTCAAGCAGTACTGTGCTGTATTGTTACTGGAATTTTCATCACACATTATTCTAGATAATATATATTTATTTGATCATAAAAACAACTTGTACATACTAAATACACCAGATATTAAGCAAAATAAATGCAACAAATAAAATAATAAAACTGTACATGACACTGTAAACAACACACACAGACCCTACACAATTTTATTCAGTTTCATTGCAACCTATACACATATTAACTGCAAAAATCTGTGTAAATAAGATGTGACTTTGGCACAGTTTTTTACACACACATATATATAGATATATATATATATCAGAACAAGGAAGCACAGTCTTGGTCAACCATAAAATTTTATATTCCACTATGAGAAAAGCACAAACATATCCTGCATCTACATTATTATTTGTGCATTTATAGAAAAGTATATGCATTAGCCATTTTCTAATTAACCAATATGCTAATGTGTTATATACAAGTGTACATATTTCACATTTTAATGCAGCAAGCATCTACATCTGACTAGTAAACTTGATTTAAAAGATGCTTCAACAGGTTCTTTCTGACAATATTTTAATCATCATTCAGAATAAAAAAAATCTGCACAGAGAACTAAAAACACTTGTAAATAAAAGTATCCTCTGAATAACAAAGCACAAAACAAATGTGTATATACCTACACACAAACTGCAGTATTGACAGAACACAGCAGTTTCAGCAATTACCTACAAAATTCTTAGGCACATGTCACTGAAGTTATGCTGTAGAATATAATTACCATACAATATTACATATGTACAATGATCATTATAATACATAATACAGTCATACATACTACATCATGACTTTTGGTAATCAAAATTCAATTATTTTAAAAAACTGTAATTCTCTTCAACATTCTTCAGCTGGTCCATCGTTCTGTTTTTATTACACGTTACACTGAGAGTCATCACAGATATTATAGAAGCCTTGGAGAGCACATCAGACTATTTCAGTTTAAATTTTGATTTTAAAGCCTTCATAGTCACATTATTAGTGTCTACGGAGATGTTAAAATAGGCATACATACTGACATTAAATATGTTCAATTTGGTTCAGCAATTCTATCATGTGATGTGAAAAGATATCATGCACTTGTTGGTACAGTTACATATATATGAAACTGGGAAATTTAAGAAAAATGAAGTGAGATGCTATCCAATCAGGAGCAAGTACGTGGTTGTGGAGAAATGGTGACAGGTTTATGGGTCACATGGGAAGGAAAAGAGGTACTGAAAGATGTTTTGGTTTACCATGAGATTGGAAAAGAGGTGACAGAGAAATTTTAGCACCCACATGGGTAAAGAAGGGGAAACAGACAAAGTCTGTGACCGCATGGTTAGGGAGAGGTGATGGAAAAAAGTTTTTGCTGATCACATGATTAGGACAGAATATAATGGAAGACTTTTCTTCTTTGACAACAATGAAGATCAGAATGAAGGGGGAAGTTGAAGAAGATGGAAGGTAATGGCAGAAAGTGGAAGAGGGGAGTTGTTCAAAAGGAAATTAGTGGAATGGGAAAAGAGGAAATGTTAGCTAAAATGTGGTTATGAAATTAGGTGATGAAAGCTTTTGGCTGCCATGCTCAGGAGATGGAGAAACAATTTTGGTGACCCACCATTGAACTTCAACATGCAGACAGAAATTGTAAGTGCAAAAGCCTACCACAGCGTAACATGGACAAATATAGACCCATCTTGGACCTTGTGGTATGACAGCCTTAAAATTACCTAATTAAAAGGACCTGTATCTTTGCAACAACAAAAAAATGGTGCTGACTGATACAAGCATTCTGAAGATACTCAATGGCAAATTTAGCAGTACTTCCTTTCCTCACTGAATCTGACACTTGTACCAACTATCTATATCTGTGTACAAAGCTTGAATGTTTACACACTTCTTATGCAAGAGAATATACTTGCCAAACCAGCACACTATGATATAATAAGTTGAATATTTGAAAGGAAAAAAAAAATTCTGACACTCTTTTCTTTATATGCAGATATGAGTAAATGTTTCTTATGAGAACTCTTCAATCAGATCCTTTGTATACTAACCACATAGTAAGATTAGAGTTCAAATTATGATACAAATTGACACAAACTTACTGTAGTGTTGCAGATTGTGATAAAGAAACCTAAACTTCTTGTCAACTTCAAAACAGTAACAATTATATTAATACAAAAATTAAAATATAGTTTACATCAGTACATAAAATAATGATAATAAGTAAAATACACAAAGGATTTGAGGTTTTCACAGCGGTGAGTCTGAAGATTGCTGTCTTCTAGGTTGTTGCGCCCTGTAGTCTGGTAGATTTAACCTCTGAAATGGTGGTGGAAATCTACCAGACTACAAGGCGCAACAACCCAGAAGACAGTAAACTTCAATATACAGAAAGTCCTACATATATCACCAGAAATGTTGAAAGCACTATAAACATTCTAGGGATAACTAATATATAATAATTATATTTGGTAAAAATAGACAAAAACATGGATAAACATGTTCCAAATTTTTAAATCAATACTTCTGTATTAATTTAAATAAAGCAACACTTTTTGCCCTTTTTTCTGTAGACTCATCTCTGGCTCTACAACCCAGTGCGGGTCATGGCCGCCTCTTCTGGAGGTTATTTGACCTATTTAGCCATTTGTTATGGCTCCTTGGACAAGTGATCAGCCTGCCACTAGGCCTCTACCTGTATACAGGACAGCACAACACAGAAAGATGCAGACAAACATACATGCCTTGAGTGGTATTTGAACCCATGAGCCCAGTGTCCAAGTGCACAAGGCCCATGCCCCAGGCCACACGGCCACTGTAACTGGATTTATCTGTAGGCTATATGCTAAAAACAACAGGTAAAATTCATACAAAACAGCAATACAAGAACAAGGATTAACCTGAATATAAGATCCCTCATGCAATAAAACTGGATTATCTGGCATGTATTTGTTATGACTCTATGAATGATGCTAATCACCACAGGGTTTACAGTTTAGAACCACAACCTCTCCCCTTCCTCAGTGCAGATCTTCCAAAGCAATTAAAGGATTTTGACGATACCTGCTATAGAGCCTATATTAAAAGTTGTTCGTCAATTTTATTTCGGTATGTATTACCCACTGCTTCACACGAAACTAAAATCAATTTCCATAATTCCTCAAAAATGGTAATCATATAAAATAGTTATAACGCAAAACATAAAAACCTTATTAAGGTTCCCAAATTTTATTTTACAATATTTTCCAATATGGTGTGTACCTAACAGAATATGCAAAAACCATCATGCTGTGTAATTTAGATCCTTACTGCTGATTAGTTCTCTGAACAGATTTGTTTCTACAACAAATGAATATGAAGGCAAAAAGAATTACAAAACAGCATAGATTACATTTAAAGACTCTGTAAACTCAAAACTAAGGGACTACCTTCCAACTCTTTTCTGTAAGACATTAGACAAAATATCTATCACAACTTCTAGATTCTGTAAGATTATGCCATAAAATATCTATTCATTTTAAAACTGAAACGTAGACAGTTTCCTGCCTTACAATATGAAACTTTCTACACATATATTTTTACTGTATGCTAGTTGGATTAAAATTAAACCCATCTGGCCCTAGGAATCAATAAACAACATTTAATTGTTTAAATAAATGTTTATAACAGCACAAAACAATAATTTAAACAGACATCTTAGTCATATGTCCACATAAACATTGCTTTCTTCAGTGCAGGTGCACATACATACACACACACACACAGGCCTTATATATATAAAACACACTGTATTATCCAAGAGTCAATTTATCATTTTGCAATGAGATACTGGTAGCTCAGTACTGATAACAAAAACATCTGTTTTCAGTTTAAAAACGTGTGATTAGGTTTTTTCAGAACTCACTCCACAGCTATACCACATTCTGACAACCACTCAAAATACAGTTTCAAATATAAAACATTTCATACAAATAGTAATACCTAAATTCACATAATAGCACAAAGGTAAAAATCATATTGCCAGGATGTATACTGTCTGTGCATCTTAAACTTTTGTGATATATTCATGTTTGCAATTAGAATTTCATTTTTATTGCAGGGTGATTGTAATGCAGACATAAAATATTAAATAGAATAAATTTTTCAATGCTGGATGATCTATAGCAGGCATGGGGGGGGGGGACAAAACAAACAGTTTTGCACATTCTAAGTATGGGCTTACAACAAAAGACTCACTTCTGAAGGGGATTTGAATGCACAACTTCCTCTTCTATTAAAGTTGGAACAGCATCAACTTCAATGAATCATACTGAGACATACTAGTTAACATTGTATGAAGATGATCTGCTTTAAACATTATTTTCAAATTGTTACATTAGAAATGTATTTCACTGTATGTGAAATAAAAAGAAGTATTTAAAACAGGCAGGAAAAATCTGCATATAGTCTCAGATATAAATCATACATTTCCTGATATTTATAGTTCTTGTACATCTACTTACCCTGTATGAACACATACAAGTGTTAAAAGTTAATGGTTACCTGAAGGAAAGTGATGTTACAGAAAGATACAATGCATATTGTGCTAATTTTGACAACTATCCAACTAGAAAACTCATAATTACAAACAAATGTCCAGTTTACTACTCTATGAAAGTAACCTGGACACAGTGTAATTAATTCTTCCACAAACATCAATCATGCGGAGAGAATTCCACTGTACAAATACAGAGTGTACCAATTTGTATATTAAAGTAACAAAAATACTACATTATGAAATATCAACAAATAAGATCTTAAATTAAACCTTAATTTTTCTTAAATCTCACACTTACCTTCCTAGAACAGCAAAAAGTAAAATTTATATTTATGCACAAAATGAGACACACTGCAAAGATAACAGCTCCCACAACTTTAACTCTCTTGCTATGAAGCTTGCAATAATATGAGGCCCACTAGCAGAAGTTTCCAAGGTACTTTGTGGCCATGTTGATCTCATATTTATGCAGAAATATTTTCTTTTTCTTGACAACTGAAGTTTTATCTATGTTAAAATAATTTTTACCATAACACATAGTGAAATATAGGTTTGTCAAGTTGTACCAACTTCCAGATAATGTCGTGTTGGTAAGTGGTAGCCATGACTTCTTTCAGATGTATAAAGATCATAGAGGATGATATTAATACTTTTACTGGAAAACCTCATCTGTGTTATTTTTAGTGAGGTGCAAATTTTATAATGTATCTGCCAGCAAATGTGCCAGCAGTTCAAGATTGCCAGCAAAGTCAATGACACAGGTTGCAGCAATGGAAGTTGCCAGGGTGACAGTAACCAGACTGCCATCACTGCTGCTGCCATTAGCACCAGGAGGAAGTGAAGCGTCATTAGACAGGCATGTCAGGATTAGCGCTGCTAGATAATGCCATCTTGGACAAAGACGAAAGACTTCGTTTTGGGCTGCTCCCGAGAAACGTAACATTACTCTCACTAAACAACTTGCGAAAACTGCAGGCAAAGACAAGATAAAATAAATTAAATGTCAGGGTACATTGTTATGCTTTCTCTTATGAGTCTAAACCAAACAGTACTCAACCTGAACAGCAGATAAGCATTTATCAAAATATAGTTTTTAATTAGGTCCCATGAATAAGAAACTCTCCTGCCTAACTTCACCTTGTTTTCAGTAACACCTCACACTATGGGTCTTTTGTTGATAAGTATTAATGTTAGGGAGACAGAAAATAACAAACTGGTGCAAAGTATTACTGAATAGGTTAGTGACGTAGTAATGCTCTATTGGCTTGCATTTGGGAGGTACCTGTTTCAAATCAAGGCTGGGTTTCTGTATCCTGACAGAAGGTTTTCTTCACTCACTCCAGGCAAATGCTAGGGTAATTAGTACTTTCAAACAGATTATTGGTTCTTCCCAAATGTTTCCCAATTCACTATTCACGGCCATTATCTCTTGAGTCCACATAATCTATGCACTGAGAAAGGGTTATTAAAGAAACTACAAAACACACTAAATGAATAAACTGTGTTGTGGTTTTACCAGTTACTTTGAATAAAGAATGTGATGATATACAAACATGATCAATTTAGTGACAACCAATTCATAATTCAAGGATATCTTAATATCAATACTACAATTAGCTACACAGCAAATGGGGACAAATTAATAAAAGAAAAAACAATCTGTCACAATCATATGCCATACATTAGAAGGTGCATTCACATTTCTACTTACATTAATCATATCACACAGTCTATAATTTATGGATTATGAACACAATGCTGCTTAGCACACTTCTCATGCACCTGAAGGCAGTGTTCCCATGTAATAGTACATCAAAACTAATTCAGTAATATGCTGCATGTAGGTTTTAACAAAATATAAGGCAATCAACTAAGGAGAAAAACATCAAGGAGAAGAGTGTAGGAAAGTCGTGGCAATGACTTTAGTTATGTTTGTTTTCACATGTCTGAACCCTTTTCCTCTGACTGGCAGGAGAAGACTCCAGTTCTAAGTGAGAACACCAAATGTAATGACCAAGTGGTTTACACTTCTGCTTTAGCTGTAAGAGGTCTCTGATTCAAGTTATGGCTTGGGTACCAGCTACTCATGATTTCCCTAAGACCCTCCAGGCAGAAGCAGTGATAACATCTTAAATTAAGCAATGAATGCTTGCTTCCACAGCCTTTCTAATTCATTATTTACTGATCATTATCATCCAATGCAATGTAGTCCGAGGCAATGACAGTGTTGTTAAATAAACAATAAATAAATCCACAGTAATTAGGAAAGCTCATACAACAGTCATCTATTTACTCCAGATGATAAGGCAGTACTGAGAACAATGGCTAACAGAGTCTAACATTGGCTCCAAATCCTAGGGTCAATGCATTCCTCACATACAGAACATTTTTACTTTGTTAGAAAAGGGGTATGACGATGGACTGTGGAAACATCTAAATTTAATTTGGCCAGTCTTCAGTCCAAAACACAGGCAGCCAGAAATGGTGTACAATCAAAAAACATTTCTATTTTACATGGGTACCCATACTGTGTTATCAAAATTTTTATAATCAAGATCAGAAATACCAAATTAACACCTCTCCAATTATCTACAGGTATATTTGACTGATGAGAATACAGATTCTTCAAATTCAACATGGGAATCATACAAAGATTATGACAGGCATGACTAATGAAGAAATGGCAGAAGAAAAGAGGTGAAATGGGAGATAGATGAAAACTTCTATACTAAAATTTTTGAAGCAAGAATGAAGCACAGTTTAACAAGCCAACACGGAACATTAACAGATATTAGAAACGCAGTAATATTCTCTCAAAACAAAATTCACTACCCATAATTTTCCTACACATGCATTATTCATACTACAACAAAATCTTCCAAAATCTTGGATCCTAACACATTATTATTATTACTATTGCTGTTGTTGGCCTTTATTTAGCTAAATTAATTGAGAATACACTGCAGTTCATTACCACTGTACATGTAAGGCACATGTTAAATAGAGAAGCATCTTTGAGGAATAAAACAGTTCTCATCATAACATGACATGCTCAACATGAAAATTAATACCAAAACATAACCTATACCAATAAAACAACACCAAACATAACTAAAGCTAATTTTAAAACATGAAAATGCCAACAAAACATATAATATCTTCTAACCTTTATACAACATTCGTCTCTGTACGAGTAAGTAAGTTTTGAGAAAATGTAGTAAGGATAGTGAATCTGTGGACAAAGAAACAGAAATAAAGGTTTGCCCAGCCAAAAACCAATAAGATAGAGGAAGTACATAGAGCAGTGGCATTAATACAGTGGCCATTCAATATGAACTAATTCTCACGTTTTAATCAGTTTATGAAGCCTGATAATTATAATTAATTCAGGTTCATTAATAATATCAGCATCTTGTCATAAGGATGCTCAGTATGAATTTAAGATATATCTATCTGAGGTTTAAGGTTCTCATGGCAATAACAATGTTACTATGGTCTTCTGGGTAAAGACACCACTTGGTCTGGAACACATTTACCAATGTTCTAGTGGAACACTGATAACCACGTACAAGACCAAACATCACAACCCAGAAAATCATGATCAATATGGAAATACCCAACACAAGTAACTTGAGACCATTCATTGTGCTATCCCCATTACATCAAAAATGTGCTCTTTGTCAGACTAGTTAGTGTAATGTAAATAAATGGGGTGGGCATCAAACCAACCCTTGCACTACAACTATTAGGCGATCTTTTATGCTTCCCCATTCTTCTAACCTGCCAGCAGTCCTGTGCCTACAACAAAGCACACTATCCTATTTAGCAAGATATCATGAAAATTGCCTGGTTTCAGGAAATGCCTGCCCAAATGGAAAAATACTGAAAAGCTTTATTTTAAAGAGCTGTTTTATTCTAGTCTAAGTGTGCAACTACATTTTAAATTGTAATGTGTTCCTACACATTTAACAACAGTTTAGTAACAGTGGTAATGGCAGTGAGACCTTTTTTCAGCCTTGCTTTATCATTTTATTAGTGTGTGCAGCTACTTCTTTGTTAAATTGTTGGTATCTTAATATTCTGTTATATTTTTCTACACTCCTTACATAATGTGTTACTTCAGAATACCCTTTTTATCCTCTAATATCTTATGTGTTTCTCATTCATCACTCTATACTCATTCCTAACATGTTTCTCCAATATGCAGAAGCCTGTAAGTCCACATCGCATCACAAGCCAGAAGACCAACATCGACATCTTCACTATGAAAACTTCAAATCAAAGGACCACTGTAAATGTGAAAACTACCACCAAACCAAATAGAAATAAACATCTACAATAACCAGAGAGTTGTGAGAAGAGAGAAGCAAGACAGGTTCTTTCAAATTCCCATTACCACCATTTGTATCAAATATTATTACATCTACTGCCTAATACCTCAGTATCTGCATATTACAGGTCAACAAAGCAACATTTTCATGCTAACAACATGTCACTTCTAAAACATGAATCATTAGACTGCAGCACTTGGCATCAAAAATTATGTAAACATAAAAATAAGTTAAACTGCACAACTAATTTTATTAAGATTACAGGACTGAAAAAAACACTATATTTACCAGTATGTGTAGAGTAAAGCAATTCTTCATTATACTGTCTAAAAGTTACAAATTACCAGCATGGAAAATTTGTGTACAGGTAAATGTGTTTCTGTAATTTGCAGCAGCTTAAACCTTACTGTGGAGGATTTAACCAAACACAAATGCATTCAGTGTAAAGAAAAGATTACTTTAATTGACACTGCCTTTCAATTATAATTTGTTGAACTGAATACACATTTTAGCATGGTATAATGTTTAAGGTGGGAAAGTTATTTATTATGTACGCAAACAAAGCATTTACATGACAAAACATTTCTACGTTTCCGTCCATTTTTAAATTACATGCATTTGTTCAGTAACAGGTGTATACATGAAGAACAGGGGCAGTTCAGTACTCACAACTTGCGAATCCCAGATTCTGATTTCTTCCAAGGGGCATCATCAGGCTCGAAGGGCAGAGGTCCCTGTACTGGTGGATCATCCTCCTCGCTGTTTGGCCTGTAAACATAGCATTGAGCGCAGCAAAATAAATAGAGTGCTAAATTTAACTACTAAGCAACTCAAAGAAAAGGCGGATTTCATACTTTCTCACTTTAGTACAAACTAAATTTTAAACTTTATTTCATGTGTTATTAAGAACAGCTTTCACATTCTGTTAATAACTGCTGCAGCTTACTCTTTACCTATATTTTTAACAAAATAATAAAACATCAGTAACGACAAACAACATAAGCTGCAATACAAAATATCCAATTCTGTAATAATTACCCAGTGTTTAATATTGTAAATTTCCACCAGAAGAGAGAAATATATTATAATTTATTTTTGTCACAAAAGTAAAATACTCTTGTAACCAACAGACTATACAATTACTTCATCAGAGAATTCTTGCCACTGATATATCACAATAAGAACTTTTCTGGAACATTATGGAAATATTTATGTAAAATGGGCATGTATAGCGCGTATCATTGTTTCTGCAGCTCATAAAGCCTGGATCTGCTGTATTTCACTTAGTGCTCACTGATAAATCATCCATAAACACATATGGATCTCACCCTTCCTGTTTCTTTTAAATTTAAGCATCTGTGAAGAATTTTTAATAACTGTGTCACAACTGGAAGGCTGATGAAGATTTACAAAGTTGGAAAAAGAATTTATCTTCTGGCGGCTACTCTTTAAAGAGCAACAGAAAATTGTACATTGCCTAACAAAAAATATAGTTGAGTTACTACATTAATGAATCACTCTGACAAGGCAGTATCAGTTATGATCTGTCTATACAACAATGTTGCCTATAATTACTATTACATATATAATGCCAGGGGCAAATAGAGTAATAATTTATCAAAATTACATCTAAAATTGCAATGAAGAGTGGTTCTTTCATATTAGCCCAAATACAAGGCAAGAGTTTTATAGTAATAAGAATTTTAAATTTCCACCTATAATTTTGATTTAGGCTATTGTATTGATGTCATTATATTTACTACATGTACCATCACAAAATAAGTAAACAGAATTTTAATAATTTTACAAGTACTTGCCACTTAAGGAATGATGAAAATATCAAACATATTTAACACGTCAGATGCAAGATTAGACAAAATTAAATCACATGAATGTAAAGAGATTTTTAACATCATAAACTGTAACATATGAAACTGGTTTCATCCACCTAACACCTTTAATTCCTTTTCAAATTACATAACATGGTGTTCTGTATTTAAACATCCAATATTCAAAATGATGATAATGATAATTAAGTTCATGCTTTTCTCACCCACTCTGGAACAACAGGTGTTATCACACTGACAAGTACCACACTGGCATATATAAGTTGAATCACACTGTGCCTACAAATATACAGCACAAACTAATGAGACCATTCATCAAGCAACATGCTTACAAATTATGTAGTGCAGAACCAGATTTTCTCCACCTCGGCGAGGCCACGGTGGTGTCAGCACTGGTAGGGGGAGGTCTGCCAGGGGAGGGAGCAAAGGGGGAGGGGAACACCACAGCCATTGCAGCAGCAGGGCGAGCACCGAAGTTTCTCTGAGCATGCGACCACCTTGACAGCGGCACAGTGTGAAGCCTATTGAAGGATTATACAGGTTGACAAGCATAACACCACACTGACACTTTAACTTCCATCACTTGCTGAAGTCACTAGTTACATGCAATTAAAGCAACAGATAGATTAAAATGAAACCAGATCATGGGCAATTCATATATAATCAACACAAATGTTTTCAAAGCAACAGATTTTCTATTTGGGCAAGGGACCCTATCATAAAATTCCTGAAGAATGTATCAAAGGTAACTTTTACCATCAAGAAAGCTACTTGCCGGCAGTAATACGAATCATATACGCGCCTCAATAAGCCATCACTCAAACCAGTTCTTCGTCATACTTCCATACACCTCAATTACCTTCACATACCATTCCTCCCTCTCCATATCTGATATTTGTAAGGGCAAAAGAATAAAATTCAGAAAAAAATTCCTTCTGCAAGTGTTGTAACTGGGCATACATAAGACAGGCATTAACCTGAAGTATCTAATACCTTATTAAACTAAATATAAGATGATAACCCCAGTCCCCTTTCCAAAATTCAAATTCATAGGGAGGGATTTACACTTCTACTTACCGTTTAACCAGCTGCCATGCTTTGTGTGCTGATGCTGAATACAAGCACACATCTTAGAAAAGAAAATATTGCAGAAAGGTTTCAGATCTTTAAATTCCAATCTATGAATTTACTGAGTACAGTGGGTCATGCACTTCTCTGTCTCTGTTTTCATTTCTTAAAATAAATTATACATATTAAATTTGAAAAGTAGAGAAACTACCAGACACCAACAAATTGTGTACAAATAAAAATACTTGGTCACTGACAGACAACATCTTACAACATGCTAGATTATTTAATTTTGTTACCAAATGCTTTATGCTTCCATTTAATGTGCAACATATATAAATCTCAGCCACATGCTTTTTGACTTACGATTCACTGGACTTTGGCCGATACATCTCTAGTTCATCTTCCAAATCACTAACTCGTGCCTTGAGTTCATTTCTCTCATGGAGAATCTCCTTCAGTTCTGCAGTGGTGAACCTGGGACGGTTTGGGTCATCCAGATCATACACAGCTTTGTTAGTCAAATCAGGAACCTCTGACTGTATAGAAGAAGAAAAAATGTGTACTTAATTTTCATCATAAACCTGTTTCAATATATCAGTCACATACAAAAAAAGTTTAATTTCAAATTAAAATAGTGTTTTCAGTGAGAAACAAATTAATGTCATGTTCTTTATTTGTTAAGAACAGCAGTCTATACAAATTATGTTCAACCTAATGCCTACCAAGCACCAAAAATTTATCAATACACCAGATGCATTCTTAATAGTTACTTCTATTTATGAAAAAATTCTTAGTTAAGTGATGCCAGAGATAACAGACTAGTATTCACTGACTTTCAATCTATGATGTTTTAAATCTGAAATACAATGCATATTATTGATATATCCCAAAAACACACACCTCATATGAATGCACTCGAGAAATGTACCTAACTCAAAAATGTTAAAGCTGCACTTTTTTAAACATATTTTTATTTCAATCTAGTGAATATTTATTGAAATATATAAAAATGTGCTTAGGATTTCACTGCCCAAGATAATAAAAAGTACTAGTAGTCAACTTAATAAGTATTCTGTATACCAAATTAATTGAGAGTAGCATTAATATGTTCACTATTGCAAAACCTAAAATTAGTCCACTGGTATATTATTTTCATACTTATTATTAATTATTAAGGCACAAAGCACAATTTACCAATGTTTCCACAGAACAAGCTGTAATGGTATCAGTTTATAGGCAAATTACAGAATCAGACACAACTGCAATAATATTTGATACAGCATGAAATTCAGGATAATAATATACTGCTGTGTGACAGAATAAAAACCATCTGTTTAAGGGTCCATGAGAATGGGGCAGTGGCACAATAAAAATGAACAGAGGGTGGATCAAGTTTTAGTAAAAGCATCCTGTACAAACTCTCAGTAAAATCAAAATTAATTCAGAAGCTGAAACAATGGAACAGCAGAACACTTTCCTTCCAACCCATTTTCTTTGATATTTCACTGAAAAATGACAAAATATTTTAGTGTAGCAGACTTCAAGGAAGAATTGCAATGGTCTTTTTTGTGCAGAAAGAACACAATTTCAGAAGATATTTTATAACGAAATACTAAATGTTCGTTTACTTTTAGGGTATCTTTGCACCATCACTAAATGTGCAATAATAATTTAACATAGCCAACACCATTCTCAAGGACTTGGTGATCTAATATTGTTCGAGGATTTAAGGTGGGCCAATAGCCTCTTAAATGCAGGGTAAAAAAAGATGGTTAACTTAAAATAGAGTAAAAGGTCCATTCCAAAATTGAATGCCAGCCACATGAAAGCAACCCTTTCTGAAATTAACATGTTGGCTATTGTTGCAGAATATAATAATGAACACTTAGAAGCTGATATTATGTTTACATACATGTGACTTTGCAAGATCCTCATTCTCCTTCTGTGCAAGTCCAAGCCTTTGCCTCAGGCCTACCAACTCCCTCTGCTGGTCCTGCAACTGTGCCAAAAAATCAGCTCGTTCATCTATCAGACCACGAACTTGAGCCTGACTCCCACGATGTTTCCTTCGGAGCTCCTTACCAATCATTGTTAGCCTCTCCACTTGTGTTAAAAGCTGGGAAGGAGAAATAATTATAGAAAATAACATTTCTTTTAAAAATAACCCTTTGAATTATTATAAATTAAACACAATATTCTGGGCAGAAAACCAATTTAACCAAACTAAAACCTACTCCATGGAGCAGAGTCAATTTTGTGAAGGTAACAGTTGCTCAGAGAAGAAAAAATTAACAGATGATTAATAATAATAATAATAATAATAATAATTGTAAGCAGTGCTTGACCTTGTAGTACACCAAATTTTCAAATGTGTTCACTGTGATTTTGTCACAAGTACTTCCATCTGGACCCTCCATAGCCAATGAATTCATTCTATAATGCTTCAATATCCATTTTAATATTATCACTCATTTACACTCATGTTTCCCAAGCAGTCTCTTCCCTTTGAGCTTCCGGATTTTGTTCTCCAACACTCTCAGATATAAATGACTGCAAATTTCAGCTTTCCAGCTCAAATAATCAACAAACCTCAGGCAAACATATGAATATTTTTCAACTATGATCACCAGCAGTATTGTCACTATGAATAACAACTACTTCAAGGATGAAGCCACTAGAAATTCCAGTCTCAAAATTAATAACCAATCTATTTTGCAGTTATCCCTCTCCTTCCCATTGGCTGATGAGAATAGGTATTCTAGACATGAGACATTTGTATCAGATAATATTTCACTTTATTCCAGTATTCTTTTATGCACATATTCAACTCATGTGCCTGCAGTTCCTCCCCGATATTTGAGTTTGTAGTCTTTTAATATGGAAGGACTTCATTTCCCCACAATCTTCTCATTTTCAAGAATTTTACGATACTTACATTCAGTGTTCATACTATAACAAGACAATAATATTTTACTCACATTATCTGCTTCTGCAGACTTAGCACTCAATTCTCTATCTCTTGTACGGATTTGATCTCGTTGCTGGTCAATTAAATTTCTTAACCTCTGCAACACTGCAACTTCTACGTCTGGACTGGTTGCTTGAGCTAAAACAGAAGCAGATAAACTATACTCAGAACACAAAGACAAAATAGATAAAATACAAATGAATATCTCATAGTGCAAAGTTTGTGCTCACATATGAGGTTCTGTACCATGAATTATATTTAACCAAGATTAGTTAAAGATACATTCACAACAAAACTGAAAAATGCACCTATTAGCTTTGCTATATTTGTCTGTCTGGTATATGTAACTCAAGAACAAAATAAATGTATTTGTGAAATTTTATAGTGTGGAGTTGAACAAAAATATTTATACACATTCCATTTTTGGTTAAAATCAGAGAAAATTAATTTTCATGAAGACCTACACAAGTTAATGCTGATGAGACTTTCAGGAATCCCCAGACACCCCACCCATTCAACAATGTGGGGCAATTTGCAGTGACAATGTCACCACCCAACCAGACACCCCAGCAAAAGCCACTCACCCAAACTAGTGACATCAATGCTTCATTCACCAACATCAAAGATCATGTTTTGATAGAACAAACAGCCTTTCATAACTACTTACACCACTAAGAAAGCATTCACAAATTGAAAATGTAGATGCGGTAACAGAAGAAACACATCAGAATTGTTACATCCATTTGGTTATGTCATACAGAATTATTTTCTCAGGAACCTCAATAGACAGTATTTTATATTCAAAAGAAAATCATAAGAATAATGGCATGCACTAAAAATAGAGCCATATGTAGGGAATTATTTAAGAAATTTAACATTCTTTCACTAACTTGCAAATTCTTGCTTTCATGGGAGGAGGAGTACAGGCACAGGAGACAGTAATGATCTATTCAGTGGAACATTTTCTGGGAAAACCGAAACAAATCATAAAAAAATACAGGTCAGAATACCCTGACTAACACTAGAACCAAGTACCTCCAAAATATAAATAAGTTTTGGTATGATACCCACGTGCAACACACATTAAGCCAATGGAAGTATATATGGAGATTTATCCTTGAACAAGTTAAAAAAAATTCTTTTGTAAAAAACACCTGTGTGTTAAGTTGTTGGTAAGACACACAGAAAAGTTCAAATCCTTCAACATTTATTGACTATGTGTAACAGCTTACCCACAGTCTAGCTGGCCATGCATTGCACTAGTATGCCACTAAACCATTAATCTTGTAGACTGGCAGCCATAGCACAGGGGTTTAAATCCCCTATTCCCATATTATAAAGGCTAATATACCATAACTATTGCACAGACAAGCTGCCTAACACTAGATTTCAGCCAGTCCCATAGGTCAAACTGTCCTAACATCATGAGAGACTGCTTGCACAAACTGACCACATAGGATGTTCAATTCTTTTCAGATTGATGACATAAAACTTGATGTAGCAATGCAGAACTAAAATACCAACTGAAAAATATGAAATAATAAAAGACTGCAGCTCATGTGGTGGTAGCAGATCAACATTTTACAAAGAATATTTCATAAGTATACAAAAAGCTGAACACAATAAAATTCCAAATGGCACATAACCAAATTCTGTGTTTCTAATTGAAACTATCACCTGCTTCACTGGGGAGGTGATCCTGTCTATCAGCAAGTGAGGAAGACAGCTTACGATTTTCCTCTTGAAGCCGTGTTACCATTGCAACTAAGTCATGAGATTCTTGTCGCCAGTGTTCTTCTATCTGTTCCAGTTCCTTGAAGAGAAATGTTCTTTCATAAACAATCATTCCTAAGAAAATTTACAACTATGTTATTTGAGAATCATGCACATGTACTATCAAGTACGAGGTGCATGACATTTGCTTTGTTCATCAATCTTGAAAGGCCAGTCAATGACCTTTTCTGGATATTAGCTCGGAAGTACTACCAGTTATACTGGGTAAATTGCACTCAACAGACATTTGACGTAAGATGTCTTTACCTTTTCGAAACGTTGTCTGTCTTCAGCTTTCTCCACTTTATCATTTTCCAATTGAGCAATCCTTGCTTTCAGTTCTTGAACCGTTGTGTTTTCACGCTCATTTTTGGTTGCTAAACCTTCTAAATGCTCAAGTGCATTAATAACTTTAGGCATTAAACTAGTGACAGCTTCCGTACCGTGAGCATCAATTATTTTCTCGAACTCTTTGCCAATTTCTGAAGCAATGTCATATACATCGACAACAGATACCTCCTGTTCGTATTCTTCCATGTCTCGTGTAATTTCTAGCTGGAACGGCATGAAGGTCTTGTTTTTTGTGCCACTTAGTAGTTAAAAGCTTTCACTTACTCATCCACCTCCGACATGACTATTCTGTGTGGGGATACCAACGACTTAATATTAAATTATTTATTTGGACCACATGGTCTAAACCAACAGCATAAATTTATAATATTCATAATGAAATTTTTAAAATCTAACAATTTATATAATATTTGTAATTATCCTCATATATCTAGATATTCTACCAAAAGAGTATATTTCCCTTGTTTTATAGTATTGGTTGCCCTTCCTACCTACCAATGCTACCAATAAGTAACAATATGAATAATTAATTTTCTTATGATTTCTATTTGTAGTAGTGTATTTTATAGCTGCTCTGAACCTTTAAATACAAACGTAATAATTATATATGAAATCTAATAATTTAGTTAAAGTTTTATGATACTTAGCATCAGATTTAATATTGGGATGTTGGTGCTTGTAATATTACCATGTGTGTATGAAAATAATCTCATTCATAACGAAACATGATAGTTTTTAACTTTAATGAATAAATGAAAGTGTTTATATGTCACGTGTAATTATAGAATTTTGTTAACAATAACAGGTTGAAATTGGTGTATTTTTTTAATACTATATGTTTTATTGCAGAATATTGTCATACTACGCTTAGGGCCATCTTTCTTTTGCTTCCGTCTGCTGTTCAGAGTGTCTTGTGGATTATTATTAGGTGAGGTTTAGGACTGTTAATTTATTTTACAAGAAGTTATCGGCTTGTTAAAGAGGACATTTTGAAAGCATTGCACTGTTGTAAACAACACAATATGTAATATTTTGTTTTTTTCAGTGGAAAGTTGCAAGTAGCACACCAGACGGCCTTTCCCTGCAAGTGTACAGGAGGGGACCGTCAAAATGATTCTGGCAAAACTCGGCACTTTTGTGCCCCTTAATGGGCAACAGCAAGTAAGGGGAATGGCAACCCTAAAAGCTATATCAATTCGTTTGAAGTCTGTAAAGAATATTCAGAAGATTACCCAATCCATGAAGATGGTGTCTGCAGCTAAGTACACCAGGGCAGAAAGAGACTTACGGCAGACGAGACCTTACGGTGAAGGTGCAAAAGTCTTCTATGAGAAGGCTGAAGTTGCACCTATAGGTGATGTCCCCCAGAAATTGATTGTTGCCATTACCTCAGATAGGGGTCTCTGTGGGGCAGTCCATACTCAGGTGTCCCGTACTATTAGACAGGAATTGGCAGAAGATCCTGACAACATTAAGATTGTCTGTGTTGGAGACAAGTCTCGTGCCATTTTACAACGTTTATATGCCAAGAATATTATTTTTGTTGCCAATGAGGTTGGTCGCAAGCCTCCAACTTTTCTTGATGCAGCCAAACTTGCAAATACTATTTTGACCAGTGGATATGACTTCAGCTCTGGAAAAATTGTCTACAACAAATTCAAATCTGTGGTGTCATATTCCACTGCTGATCTACCACTTTTCAGCTTGAAGGCTGTTGAAGCTGCTCCTAAGTTGAATGTTTATGACTCACTGGATTCAGAAGTTCTTCAGAGCTACATGGAATTTTCTCTGGCATCACTTCTGTTCTATGCATTCAAGGAAGGTGCTTGCAGTGAACAGTCATCTCGCATGACAGCCATGGATAATGCAAGCAAGAATGCTGCTGAGATGATTGATAAACTTACACTAACCTTCAATCGCACTCGACAAGCTGTAATCACCCGTGAGTTGATTGAAATCATCTCAGGTGCTGCAGCTTTGGAATAAGATTCATCTACTGTGTAATTAGTTTTCACACTGGACTGAGGCAGTAGACATTAGCTTATGGCTGGTCAACAGCACTGGTCAGTATAGTTCCCATGTAATTAATTTGTTTCTGAACTTGAACTGCTGTAATGAAGATTACTTTTGGAGTCACTGGTTATCAAGTTATTCCTATGCCATGTAAAATTCTGCAAATAATTTTGAGACAGTATTTCCATATATCATGATTGTATCATATTCTTTATTTGATGAGGCAAATCTATTTTCTGTATTTTTCAGTTCCTTGTGTATCTAAAATGGATACATTCATGTAGCCCCATACAACATCATATATTGTCCAGTGTATCCATTTTAGTCACACAGTTATTGATGTATATGAGGAAGTCAATTTTCAGCCTTAATTTTTTATTTGTGATTTGTATTCTATAATGTGTAATCTTATACAATAATAAATCAAATATTTGTAATTCAGGTTATCATACTGTCCTATATGGATTCTTCAGCTGTTATCTGCTCAGAAAGAATAAATCTTTCAAAAAACTTTTTAAAT